GGGGATAAACCTATTGATTTGAGATCAGCGTGTTGCATTACTGTTGCTGCCCCGGAGGATTTGGGAAGTGCAGCAGGGTGTAATGGTGACGGCGGTAACTCTGTTTGTTCGTGACTTTATTCCCGACTAAAATCTCTCAACTGAGATGAAGACATTTTGGGCTTTTGGTGAAATGTATGAAACACTGAACAGATTGGAGTTGTCGTTGCACTTCCACTACAGATAACTTCTCCAAAATCTCACTAGCCTCGGCTGTACGTTGCGTTTAGTGCTACTGAGCCAATGTTTGCCTGCTGACGTGCTAAATTAAAAGGTTAAAACATGGAAAACACTGTACATGGTTAACGTATTGTCAGCATTGTGAGCTTCAAAGTGGCATAAGGCCACAGGACTGACAGGAAATGCAAAAGACACAATCATATTGTGATTACATAACGCGCCTGAACTGAAGTCGGTCTTAAACATGAAGTAGTAAACAGGCAGGTCAAGGCCGGGCTCAACAGCAGGCAAAAGGATCTGTGTACAAACAAGCAGCAGATGGATGCTGTTTAGCCGTCCACATGGATCTGGATCACAGCCATACACGTACCGAGGCGCACACAGGCGCTGCTGGGTGAGTAAGAGTCGACCCGAGAAGTTACCTGTAAACTTACAGTTCATGTATAAATAAATAAACAGCTTAATTGTAAAGACTAAATACTGCAAACCGCTGGCCTGCGACAGCATGTAACAAAACCAACAAACACCTGTAAAGCTTCAAGGAAGTCACAGGATGTAAGATTAGTATTTCCCAAAATGTTAAAATGTTCCAATAAGTGTTTGTTACCAAGAAGTTTGCAACCTTCACCTGGACACAAACACTGCTATAGAACAACTGAAAACAGGGTAACTTAATCCACTATTTAGAAAGATATTGATCCTTGTCAGCCCCGTAGAGCCTGCACAGCCCGGTCTAGTCAATGTTAGTGGGTGGTAGAGCTCCCATTTGTTGTAACAGGAGATTGGGAAGTCATCACACTCATTAACCCTTTTAGTTGGGCAACATTGAGCAGCAGGCAAAATATTTCTATTTTTCCATCAATATTTCATCACAGGCTGAGGCCAAACAAAGCCAGGGGCTTGGACTTTAATGGTCCCATCTGTCTATAGATCTTGAGGACGTACACGTCAGTGTGTTGGTGTCCTTTGACACCAGAAAATAGGCTTTGAGATCAAGGAAAAATCACTGCACTCACAGGCTGCATGGATGTTAGTCAGCCTGGAAGGCAAAGCGTATCCCGCTGTATTTGGATGTTTCCTCGCAGATGGGCTCTTTATGTTGTAGCGGGAGATCAAGTTTCAAGAGTGCAATTTCAGCTACTGGGACAAATCGGCTCTGCTGGAGTGCGTCAGTGGTGGGACCTGAGCCACGGGATTCATTAACAAATTAATACCAATCACGACTGTCGGGAATGTCCACTCCTCTAGTAGTCGATGCATTTTCGGCTTAGCATCCCTTCCACAATCTTACTTTAGTAAGCTACAACGTCAAGTTAAGTTAGTCATCCTCAGAGCCTTCAGAGGTCAGAAAATATGAGTGGATCAACATCTGGTTGCTATCATTTATCCAACTCCAATGAGTGCTACCCGTGGATATAAAAAGTATAAATAATTCATCAATAGTAAGCCAGCACTATTGGCACGGTGGACTGGCCGGTAAATCGCTCATTGTTTCTTAGCAGTAAGAGAGTGACCTCATTATCTTTGCCTGGCCCATTAGCTTCCTGCACAAACCACAGGGGACCAGTCCATTAACCCCTTACCTGCCAAGTAAAACAGCATTAAGCGACATGTTCAGAAAACAAGGAGCAATTGGCATTATATGTGGATACCTGTGATTCAAAACGATAAGACTATAAAAGCAACTAAAGGGAGAAGGAAAGTAACCAACGAATAAAAAAAGGGATTGAAATCAAAAGAAAATCTAGTGATTCAACAAATTCTGGAAATGTATAATGCATTAGCAGATGTTTTAATTTTCTATCCTCAAGTTGAATAAAATGTAAAACTCTGGAGACTGACGAGATATTTGGCTTCCTGAGCTCAGGTTACAAAAAGCATAGTGGAGAAAAGGCACTTCTGCCTGTAATCGGTGGTAATTAACCCCCACGGTCATTGTTCTTGTCTCATTGTGTTTAAAGAGGAGAGGTCAGTGAACATGGGGCCTTTTCCACACAGACAAGCTCAAGAACACAGATTGAATGACCACAAAATATTCTGATCAATGAATGACATTCTGTGTGCTTTATTTCAGTTATAGTTCCCCCCCCCCCACAAAGAATGGCAATTCCAAGATCATTGATTTTTGCGTTTGTACTTAGTGGGTTAAGAAAGCCCCATCATGCTTTGAATGAATGAATGAATGCAGGGTAATCCCGCGTGGACTGTTGTTTTAGTTCATGAGTACGAAATGTTGATAAATCCTGCACAAGTGTGTTTAAGACAGCGATTTGGAGGAAGAATAGTGAGCTGAAAACAGAAAAAATCAGTAATGATACATATTCCCAAAAACATTAAGACTCACTTTTAAGTACTTCAATTATTAACATTAATAATAACACATCACTTTGGCTGCCCTGCTGGAAAAGGCCTGTGAACAGTCCAGACCAAGATCCATGTACTGACATTTGTTTTTGACAGCTGCTATATATAGTTTTTGTGAACCCATTATTAAAAAGGACTTTAACTGCCTCTTTGATTTTTGGAAACCCAGATTAATTTAAATCAAGGGATTGGCAATATCACAATGCAATCATTAGCAAATAGTTTCCTCTGACAAACCATTAATTAAAAAGGAGTGTCTCGTTAGAAAGTTTCCCCTCTTCACAGAGTGTCTCTTTCTCTTGTTCTCTCAACCCTTTAAAATCATCCATTTCCAACAAGACTTCCCTCTTCATCGCCAGCGGCCCTCTTCACTTCATCTCGAGAGGTCACAGACCCTGGTCCTGAACAATAGCCTCCTTTGTACCCGTGCCGTCGGAGAGTGACAGCGACTTGAAGGTTAGTCGACCTGGACTCCCGAGGAGACGCGGTCGCACGGGAGTGTCCATTAGGGCTCGGCCCTGTGACGTCGCTGACTTTCATGTTGCGCCATTGTTACGCGGCTCTCCCCTGAGAGGTGGATACAGAGTGGGTAATGAGGGGTAATTGGTACAGGGTCAAGGATGATTAATTCCCTTGGTCAGGTGTCAGCTAGTTTTCATACCTGGCTGGCTGGGTAGACGCGTTCGAGGGAGGGGAAGTGTGGAATATGAGACGCGGTAGGCGAGACGGTAAGTGGATGCGTGTCCCGGCGCACATGCACACGCACAGTCAGGATTGCTAATTAAAGAAGTCGGTGCTTCAATGAGACTGAAGCCAGAAAGAGAACCTCCCTTGCAACAAAAAAAACATCTTTCTATTCCTAAATCACAACCACACATCTTGCACGAGAGCGTTTTCACAACCGCAAAAAGATTCCTCGGGATCATGTCTTTCCAGAAACAAAAGTTGAAAGGTCACCTCGATCCTCCCCCTCCAACCGCTGAAGCCAGATTGAGATTGATAGCTGTCGCCATCCCTCCTACCTCCCATTCAGCCTGACTGACTAATCTGAATACCTCTCCATCCGTCCCTCCATTCTAACCGGGCAATTTTCAACACTGATTATCTTGCAACCTGTGAGTGCACGACAGTAAATGCAGGGGCTGGCTGGTAATTGACCAGGCAAAGACTGAGACGCCTGCCGTGTAATTGAGCAGGAGCTGAGGGGCTCTTGCGGGACTGAAAGGGTCTGAGGATCCCTCATTGCCCATTAGACCCGGCGGGGGGTCTCCTGTGTCTGTGCACTCCACCTTGAGGCCCACACCGTTTCCAGCACTTCCATGGAGGACGGACTTCTTTCAGCGGCGGGGATTGCACAGAAACAGCTGCTGTATCTTACCGACTGAAAGTAATATGGTATGAGGCAACGTGTAGGGGAAAATCATTTAACAGTATACAAACTTCAAACACATCTTCTCAGAAAATCCGGTTATTGATACACCAAACACTGCGTTGGGAGTTCGCTCATCAAACAGTGGAGCCTTTCTGAGCTAAGTGGGGGATGACTACATATTTAAAACTTTCCGTTAAGGCAGCTTGACTTCCATTAAGTGTTCAGAAAAATCACTTAAATTATTGTGTCATTCATCTCTGAATAGGTGAGAGCCAAGACGGAGCAGTGGTTGATTTCCAAAGTAAAAGGTTTCTTGTATTCTTCAAACCTCCTGCAAAAGAACCGGCGGCTCTCGCAAGATGGAAATTAATAGGATTTAAAATGCAAGTGATGTTAATCACTTTCTTGGGAAGAGTTTGATGGTAAGATCAATACCACTCTCACGTCTGTACTGTGAACATGAAGCTAGCTTAGCATGAAGTGGAAGCAGGGGAACCAGCTAGCCAGACCGAACGTACCGACCAGGAATCCTGAAGGTCACCAATTTACATGTTAAATATCTCGTTTAATTCCAGAGTTCATATATTTCTTCACATTGAAAAATGGTTTTAATATGGGATTATCTATTTTAAAACATGGTTATAATGAATGACACAAGACTCTTTAAAAGACGTCTCCATCTTGGCTCTGTGCCGTAAGCCTGGAGACCCCATGCAGAGCGGGGAAATATACTTACGTGGTCAATTGGTTCTTTCCGTCTGACTTGTGTTCATCGGTGTCCATCTAATGCTCTGCTACCGTTTATCTACATATTGTAAAATAAAAAGGTACGGCGGCGTCGCTGCCCTGAAATCGTCACGGGGCAGCGACGAGAGTTAAACAGGCGGACGCCGATAAATGGGCTGTCTGCCAAAGACAGGACAATTAATCACCACCGCATTCAAACTGTCAGGGGCCGATGTGCATCTCAACAGTGTTTGCATGGAATGATCGGAATATGTTTCTCTGAAAATGCTTTACGTAAAGCAGTGAGGAGGAAACACAATTCACTTCACATTTTATTTCTGTCAAAGAATTCAGTTGGAATACTTGTGCAGACCTACAGATGCTAAGACTGAGAAAATATTACGAAATACATACTTTTACAATCCCAACCCACATTTCTAAATACACCTTTCTCCCTCCAAATAGTGTGCCGAGTACTCTAAATATAACTAACAGTGGCAACGGAGGCACACAATTTAATAATCCTGCTGCGGCTTCTTAAGACACAACGGGAAGGGAAGAAAGAAATAGGATTGACAGGACTGCGACAGTTACTGCTTGTTATCGGCGAGGCTCTGCAAGCGATGGTGTTCCCTCAGCCTGGAGCACAAGAAGGACAAAGAATACGACGGGGAGTTCAGAGTGCGATCGAGTCCCATTTCCCAAGACTACGCTCAACCGTTTAGTTTGGAATTATTGTAAAGGGGCGCTAACCTGACGGCGTTGATCCTGATGAATCCAGAGGCGTCACATGGGTCGTAGTCTCCCTGCACGTCCATGCTGGAGTGAACAGAATGAAAGGTAAGCGGCAGGTGAGGCAACGGGGAGCGATCGGTACTTTTTTTTTTGGGGGGGGGGGTTTGGAAGGAAACCTAGCTGAAGTGCAACAGAGAACTGAAGGAAAAAAAGTTACAGGATATTTAACAGAAAACATGATTGAAATGTTTGGTGTCATTGCAGTAAACATAAGAGACGTGGGGCCCCATCAACTACTGGGATAACTGGCTCATTGATGAGCTACTTTTTGTGAAATAATGTTCCGATCGATTTCCCCCCGAATGCTCCTCTTTAGCATTGTTCGCGCCGAATGACATGGAATCAATATCGCGGGAGGAAAGACGCGCTCATGTACACAGGACCACAACAGACGCACAAAAACCCCCCATTTTAAAACAATCCCATCATATCAACTGTGAGCTAACTGACTAGAGGGCTTTCTAATCTGTTGTTTTTGTCTTCAAGTTCACCCACTTCTTCTACAAAACACCCAAATCCATAACTTGTGCCACTGCTCGTTCGGGCTGTCATCTCGTCTTCGTGTGTGCGAGCGTCGCACAAAGTGCGTCTGTGTGCTGTGTAATTACAGCAGTTTCTACCTGCAGCGCTTAATACACTCCCTCGCCGAGTCCTCGCCTCCCTACAACACCCCCGACTACCGCTGTACAGCTTGCACTCTTTCTTCAAAAGCACTTAGCAAAAGAGGAAATTGCCAACAAATGATAGGATAAACACCATAAAAAAAAAGAGAAAGAAAAAAAGAAAAGGCCGACAACTAAATCATCAACTCTCAATACATGGCTCCCTACCCGGCACCTGAACGCCATTATGAGCAAGTGGCTGCTGAGAGCGTGTGTGTGCGTGTGTTTAAGCATGTGATATTTTGTGTATTCCTTTAAGAAACCCTGCAGTCTAATTGAGAGTGGAGCCAGTGGACGGCGAGGAGGGTGACATTTCTGACTCAGACGGGTGTGCGATGACCGGCTGTATTACCACTGTGTTAATGACGCCGTTTACTGTCGCCCGCGGAGAGCCAACAGGATGCCAGCGGGGCTTTCATGCCTAATCTGCTCTGTGTGCGTGTGTGCGCGTGTGTGTGTGTGTGCGAGCGCGGGTCTGTGATGTGTGCGATTGTGGCAGGTCGTCTTGTAGTGACGGAATAAGTGCGCGTGGGAGAAACTGCGGCTTCCAGGTGGATCACTGTCACGTACGTGACACGCTATTATTAATACAACAGCCAGGAGAAGTTTGGAAGAAAAATACATGTTCATTTTGCAACCATTAACTTTCAAACAGTAAACCAACGCAAAAATCCTATTTATTCATTGAAGTTAAATATATTTATTTTTTTATTTGTGGATTTGATCTCATTTCAAAAAACGACATTTCTGATCAAATTTAATGCCTGTGCTCATATTTACAGTTATCACCTTTGATATTAGAATAAAAAAAGTCCTTGAGATGTAAATGAAAACAATTATAGTTGCACCTAAATATTACTATTAGTACGGACTTGCCACGTCTGTATCAGATCAGTAAAGTGAAACTCTTCATCTCCCTCGCTCACGCAGGACAAAATATACCTTGGTGGCTTTTTTTCCGCTGGCTTCTCCCACTTTCCAAACCAGTCTAATAAAATTGTCGGACTGCCGGGCGTGACTCGCATTGTCCCTCTTTCGGACCTACTTAACTAGCACGACACCCGGGTTACACTCCCATTCTTAAAAGCCCGGCGAAAATCCCTTCCCTCCTCTGGCCAAAAATGCCATTAGCTCTCTTGACTCCAGGGTACTGCTGGAGAGGCTGGAGTGGAGCTGGAGAGGCATATGGAGGGGTCTTTACTTTGGTCAGCGCTGAGCCTGCCCAGAGGGCAACAAGGGTCAGCATCCTGAACAAACCCACTGTTGCCGCGGCTAAGAGGCCACTGGGCCGCGCTGAGGGGTCGGGTCTGCCCTCCAGGAACCCAGCTCGACATTTCTCTGATGTCTTTGTGAGGCGGGGAGGGGGGTCGGTTTAGTGCGTCGACGTGGAGGTCACAAGAGAACTTGGGCGAGCCGAGCATGTGGAGAAGCCGAATGTAGCCGAACGCGGCCGCCGAGGCCTGAACAAGCGCACGCTTTGATTCGGACCCACACGCGCGGCTCCCTGTGTTCTATAAAAGCACGTACACGGTTTGATTGTGTCCCCTCTCACCTGACCAACTCCTCGTTGTAAAGGGACTTGGGCGACTCCCGTCCAAGGATGTAGACCTGACCCTTGAAGACGGACAGCTGTACTCTGCCCTGCACGTTCTCCTGGGACTTGGTTATGCAGTGACGCACAAAATCGCACTCTGGACTGTACCAGAATCCTAGGTCCAGACGGGACAAAAGCCACACATTAGTATCAAGTATCGCCGTGAAGGCTCGTTCAAAAACAGTTAAAGATTATGTTCATTTTTTTGAATGAACGTTCATTATGTATTCATATTGATTCTTAGAGACAAACAATAGACAGAATGGAGAAATAGTAGCAGCAGGAAGCACAGCGGTGTGTGGGAAGCCCACGCCGTCCCCTTTCATGCGTTAAAGCTCTTCCTCTGCTCCGGTCTCATTTCTGTTTCAGGTGAAGTTCATACAATCCCTTTCCTTTGTCCCATTTTGTTGACCTGGCCCGTCAATCCCGGAGACAGATGGGCGAGGGAAGTGTCTGTATATGTTCAGAGGTCGGACACGCCCCACTCAGCAGGGGTCCTCCTCTCATCAGCTGACCTCCACCTCGTCGTCTGGCCATGTTCAAAGACACAATCCTTCCTTGTGTTCATTGCCTCTGGATTGGCGCAAGGTGTCTGACAATAGCACGCAGGTCCCAGTTCTCTTTTTTTTTTATTCAATCGTCCCGTTAGTTCCGTCCGCGTGTCTGTGTTGAGGGCATTTGGGTAAAATTGTAATGTTATTCATGAATGCTTCAATCTTTTGTTCTAAAAATTAGAACTGTTAATTTAGCAATTATAGATGTGTAGCTGCAGCTTACGTTTCACTTTTTAAATGCTGCAGATTCCCTCGTGCAAACATGTTTGGGCAAATCATGGTGTATTAATGCAAAACAGATGCACGACAGGTGGATTGTTAACGTAAAGCCCACTGCCAGCCGTCTGTTATCTACCTGCAGAGTTATTAATGATTTAAACCCACAATGGGTTTAATCTCTGCCCTGCTTCTCAAGGTAGCACCTCTATGTGTATGCACGTGTGTGTGTGTGTGTGTGTGCGCGCTTCGTGTCACTGGAGGGTATAACTGAAGTGGCCTAGCAGTCAGTCTCTAATGGCACTGATCCTATTATGTGGATGAAGGTGCAGGGGGACTGGAGAGCGAGCAGAAGGGATGATTAAGACACCTGAGCCAAGAAAAGCTGACACACACACACACGCGCACGCAGGCACACATGTCTTATATAAACGCCAAAGAGACGTTGCGCCTTCCCCCTTATTGTCTGAATAATACTGGATTTTTGCGGATGATCGGGTTATAGATAATGGGTCTTATAAATATACACATAAGATAAACAATCTTGCTGATCCCATCATTATTTGTATTTTAAAAATGTACTACGCTTCAACACAAAAGGGTATGAACGATGCAAAGAACAGCATTAGCAATACTGTCTAATAAAGATGGTTTATTGGGAAGTTACCGTTGTAGATGAATTCGGAGAACTTGATGCTCAGTGCCTGTTTGATCCGACGCACTTCTTTGTCCATGGTAAAGGTCTCAATGTCTAAATGGGCCTTGAACAGAATCGTGCCTCCCGGGGTTTCATATATACCTGATGAAAGGAAGATAAAATGAATAAGCATCAGCACCAAACAACAACGAGCCCCTTTTCAAACCAGAACGAACAGACCGGCAAGTGGACCTACGCACCTTTGGGAGCCACCCTGTATAATGTCGTCTCATTCGACATCATATGTTGTCACGATTTTGAGAGAGATGGCACACAACCTTTCCCTCCAATACATCACCCGAGTGTATCCCAAGAGTCACTGTCATCATAAGGAGGTCACTCGTATGAACACCGACCGCAAGCCGTGTTCATCTGAACCCACATTAGCCATCAGCCTTGTGACAGATAGCACAGTGACGGGCCTCATCCAAAACATGGATGAGCCTGTCCTGAGTAAATGACAGGGTAGGAGGCCCCTGCCAGCCTGCAGCCCGGACACAGGGCTCTGCATACCCTGCAATTTACCCCCCTCTGGACAAAGGAAGGAGGGTTGTGGGGGGTGAAAGGATGAGGTAGATGACAGGAGAAATGAAGCCATCACTCAAACGTCAGCTAAAACAAAAAAAAGGGATTGCAGGGTAAATGCTACCAGACAGATTTGACACGAGAAATAGGAGCTTTATCAGTGACAGCCATTTCTGTGAGAGCTGGAATTGGAAGTGTTGTTCCCGTATCCAACACATGGTTCCGCACATCAGTCAATTTGAAGGACACACATTTTAGCTGGGCCGCCAACATGCCAAACGGATATTTCTCTACAACCGACACCAGGCGCCCAAAGTGGTGTTCAAACTCCCAAAACTCTGGAGATTTAACAGATAAACGCTTTAATCTCTTCCAATCCAGCGAGCAGCGGAGCTCCAATCTGTACTCCAGCACCGTTCCTGATCTGAAAATGGAGAAGCACTTACTTTGCGCTGCCGGCCGAAAAAAACGCAGCTTAGCAATGCTGCTAATTGTCTAATACCTCAAAAAGGCTGCTACCTCAGCCTCAACGGCTTGTGGCTTTTTTTTGACGATCCAAGGCCACGGAGGGCATGTAGGGACATTTCCGCCAGCTCTACCAGATAAATAAGTTAAAACTGCCCTCCAACCCGACTTAAGTGCTCCAAAAGAGAGCCGGCTTATCAGAGAGGAGCAAACAATGAAACGCTATCTGGGTAAGCTCCAACAGTGGCCGTTTAGTTAAGCTTGAAGAGACAACACCCCCAGTGGTTTCTGAGGCCTTAATCTTTTATACGTTTACTGCAGGTATGCTAACCATGCTACGGGCCTGAAGGGCTGCAGGGTTAGGAGTTAATTCTTCTTGAGCTTATCCCCTTTTAGGCTGACTGTTAGTCCAGCATAAACAGGCAAACAAATGTAAATAAGCACATGAATATCTTGAAATTGGATTCGTTTGTTTTTTAATTCCTGACTGGACGCGAGCGCCGTTCATTAAAGCCACTTCCGACTGCTTTCGATGGGTGCGCCTCAGCTTACACCACCCCGCAGCGCGCAGGTCAGGAGCTTGACAGCGCTTTGACGGGAGGGAAGTGTTGGTCTGTTTTTCCAGCACAGTGACAAACATTCTTGACAAACCGTTTCCATCCGCCGCGCCTCCCTGACCCAACACAAATAAAAATGACCCAACACAAATGGGTATGACATGTGCCCATTCAATCCCTCCCATCATCTATTGTGCGAACGCGACTGCCAGTCCAGAGGAGAGCAACATGTACACTTGATGGCAGTTATTCAACCACTTGGACACCTCGTGCTCCACCTCTCCCTATTGCTCCTGTGATGGAAAAAGATTTGATCTTTTGTTTAGTCGAGGGGAGAGAAAAGTGGGCTTCCCATTTTCCAATTTCTACCTGCCATGTTGCGCCACAGCTACAAGTCTGTTGGCCAGTCAATTTGCCAATCATAGCGCATATGGGGGGGGGGGGGGGCCTTTGTGTGTGTCATAAAAAGGCAGAACAGCTCACTGCCCTCGTATAATAAAGTGTGGGAACACCTGTAGAGACCTAACAAAAGAGCTTTTCAAGTTGCCCTGTTGATACCCAGATAAAAGAGACAAAAGCGTCCTGTGCAACTGCATGTGCAGATATGCGATTGACTGTGCATTTGTGTGTACCCGGTGAAGCGTGTGCGCCGCGTGTGTTCTATAGGTTTGTGCAAGCATGAGAGAATGGAAATAACTTCAGTGTCTGAGAGTCCAGGTGAACCAGGGGAAGTCATTTGCTTTGAGGAGGGTGTGCTTGGCATGCTGCTTTTATGGAAGGGGGAACAGCGAGTGTGACAAAAAGCACTCATGTAAAATAACTGCAAATTGCATGAAAGCCCAGAACAGTGAAAGGAAAGCTTTTGAATGGACCTTAAAATTAAAATACCGAGACGTGTTCTCAAAGTGCAAATGTCTCCGTCTCACTGCATTTGAAGTGAATTTTCAGCGAGGGGGCCTGTCAGACTAACAAAGAGAATAAAACGTCACAACCGAGACCGGTGAAGATAAATATAATTTTTAATTGCTTACCTCTGGATTTCATGCCAATGGAGCGGTTCTCTACAATGTCAATCCGGCCCACACCATGCTTTCCACTAAGAGAAAGAGAGGGACACATTTTAGTGGAAAGATGAGGAAAGATTTTGCTTTCTTTCTTTCGGGTGCTTTTCATTTTTGCGGACAGTTGGAAAGCAGAGGAGGAGGACGGAGCGGAGGAGGCAGGGGAGGCCACACTGTGCTGGGATCTGATCCCAGGCCAGCAGCGACCGACACACATCACTCCAGAGGTGGACTTAACCAATGCGCCGCTTCTGGGATCACTTGCGTTCGCTCGGGAGAGAAACATTTCTCTCGCTATTCTATCAAATTACACACGGGAGGTAAAAGTGTTTTGGATTAAATATGTTAGACATTAGGAAAAATAAATGCTAACCCAATCTCATTGAGGTAGGAGAAGATTTCCAGCGGTGAGTCCTTGGATTGGCCTTCCTTAATATTAGTCACCTTTACAGGCACTCCTGAAGGGAAAAACAAAAAAAAACATCCATTTACAAATAACATTAGAATAAAACCCCACAGCTCATAAAAACGTAACCTAAAAAAAATAATTTTATTTAAAAAGTGATTTTCAACTGTTTTGATGCAAATCAATTAGAGACGGCGCTAAAGCAGACAGCTGTTAAATAGTACCTCATACTACACACTCAGTCAAACCCATAACTACAAAATTAGAATACTTGCACCGCCATGAGTGTCATCAATTGCTTAAGTGCAAATGATTTTCTATGACATGATATCACTTTATTGGTGATTCGGGTGGAATACCTTTCCATTATTATACCAGTTACTCAGGCTGTTAAACGCAGTGAACATTCCCACCACAAATATATGCATGAAGCATTACAAAAGCGACCATATGGCTGGATGAGAGCTGCTGAAAGGCAAATTGACACAACACAGCAGGTTGATTCGCACGTTATGAGAATAAAGAGCAAAATCTAAAAGGGTCGCACTTGTTCTTGGATGTGTGCTTCATCTCTCACACAAGACGTTGTCCGATGAATGTTTTAGATAGTCGTTGTTGTTGTCAAAGAAATCATATTTTTTCAGATGTCCTTAAATACAAAGCTATAATGTAAACAGTCAATTATAAACGGCACTTAAATGTTATGGTCTCATTGCCAACTGTCTGCAGGAGAAATTTTTTCCATGAAGCGCAAAGATAAATTGACTCAAGGCCCACAAAGATTCAAACTAAACCTTTACACAGTTAATCAACAGTTCTGGTAAATGTCTTTAAAAACAATGGAGAAAGAAAAAACGCAAATAGTTGATCAAATCTGCTGACAAGTGCTTGTTATCTCAGTAACTGAAATCAATAGTTGTCAGCTAAAAGTAAAAGCCATTACAAAAGGAGGCGGCGAGAAAAGGCTAATAAATTCAAAGGCCCTGGTCATCTGAAAGCAGTGAAATTGTGGGCAGTCCTTTTCCTAATTCAATTACACGCGCAGCTTTGTTACCCAAACTCTTTTTACGCTGAGATTTCTTTGCGTCACTGAGTATTTGTGTGTTCATGCGCAAAAAAACACTTTCTTGCAGATTCATAATCACCGATCATCCTACGTCTAATTTTGTATTTTTATTTAAACACCCACACTTGCACAACACACTTCCTCTCTAAAGCCACTTAGACCAAGTACACATCAATCACTGTCATGGACCTGCTTATTCGTGGCCTTCAGTAAGCCACACGGGCCAAAGGTGGCGGCGAGAAAAAAAAAACACACACACGCCTCGTGTGTGTGCGTGTGTTGAGAAGGGAATATAACAAAACACAAGAGGACCTGAGGAAAGATCTGCCGATGTTCCCTCTCCAACCCTTTGCATACTTCAGCGTGCCCACCGTCAGTCACGTGGCTTTGAAGAGGCGAGCAGCACTTCTGCCCCTCAACCCCGGCGTCTAGAAAAGCCCCCCGTAGGAACGACACGTGAGGACATGACAAATTTTTTCAGACAAGGGCTTTGTTGACGGCCCATTCTCATATCGCGGGAATGGCGGCGGCTCCCATGGAAGAATGGGGAGTACCTCCCAGCGCAGGAGAGGGTAGTGTGGACGGTGCATTATCGAAACCCCCCCCCCCCCCCCTCCCCAGATACCTAATAATTAGATTAAAAGGTTCAAATAAATTAAGTGTCTGAACGTGGGAGTGTAGGGGCCGGCCTTTCGTCCCTGCGCTCTCCATCATGCGGGTTCCATCATTCACCGAGGGGTCTTTTTCTCTCCGTGATCCTTTTCTTCAGTGTTTTTTTTTTTTTTTGCAGCCTAACAGTGCAGACAATGGAAGCACAGACACAGTTGTAGGAAAAATTACTGCTTTACATTTTTCCACTCTGTCTCCTTTTCCTCTCCACTTCTTTGGCATGAAAGGAGGGAGGGATGACATTTTTTTTTCCTTTCTTAAAAAAAAAAAAAAAAGGGAGAGAATCGAGGAATGGAGTGTTTGACGGGGGAAAAGGTTGCTGTTGTTAAATATTCTTTTTTAATCAGTGAGAAAACTTTGGGGAGAAAAGGCAGGGATGAAAAGGTGGGAGGGGGAATGAAATGAAACATTCTTTTGCTGATCTTGTGCTCAGAGGGAGGAGTAGCCTCGGCCCTTTGTGTGAACAACTAAAACAGCTTTTGTCATAGGCTGCTCAATAAAAGGCACAGAGAATATGTGTGAAAACGGAGCACAGGCCTGCAAAGGACCCGCGAAACCAGACCGGGCTTTACCACTGCACCGCTGTCTCACAAAGGCATTCTCAACTCCAGATGAACTGACACCAACCTGCTTGTTGTATGAAACCTTTTCTTTGGGGGAAGCTGGTAACACTTTACCAAGTTCCCCAAAAGAAAATGTTCCGGACGCCACTTCAGTGCGGATGGATTTTGAATATGGAGTGTCATTTTCATTTCATCGCTTTTAGCAGCTCTTAATGGGCACACATATTCCCACGAAACCTTCTGCCGACCCACTGAACACCCCTTATATCACCTCATAAAGCGGCCCATCAAGCCCGTGTGATCAGAGGGCCTAGTGTCTCTGAGCCGATTGATGTCGGGAGCTCTAGAGCTTCCTCTGGTGACCAGGGATGAAGGGACATCTGTGCCGGTTGCCCCCAGGCTAGGATGTTTCTCGCCATATTCTCTTTACGCAAACATGTGACACTTTCAGCTCGGCCCTCGTGGCAATATATCTAATGAGCGTCTCTCTGGCCCCTTGGGGCCTGGTGTATTAGTTGGACTTAAAACTTCCGGGCCTGTGTGCGGCCCCCGGGCCAAAACACGGCAGATTTGGACCAACTAATGCTGCGAGGGGGTTAAGGATGAGTCTGGGTGGTCGGGAATGGTGATAAACTGCAACCGGTTCAGCGAAAGCGCTGTAGCCCTGCGGTGATAAGTAACGTGTCGGAGCTCCAAACAGATACTTCATTAAATGCTCTTATCTTATGCCTCGTGTGTGAATGACTACAAAAAAAAAAAAAAAAGCATATATATATATATATATATATATAGAGAGAGAAGTATATTATCAATATTGATACATTTCAGAAAAAAGTTTATAAAAGTTTAAAGTAAAAAAAATTAAAAAAAATTAAATTACTGTTTTATTCTGTATGTATTCTTTATCTGTTTTTAAATCTATTTCCCTGTACTTTAATATATCATGCCCATATATGAAGTACATGAGCTTTTATTTAGATTAAATCAAATAAACAGTTTTGATAATGTATATTTGACCCTCTTGGCATTCCGATTTTGGAAACCTAGGTAGGTAAAACCTAGACAGAGAACTCAACGGACACACAAACCGTTTGTGAACTCTATCTCCAGGACATCGGGGGTGTTGGGAGCATCCTCGGGGTTCTTGGTCATCAGGTACAGGTCAGCCGGACCATGGCTCTGGAAAACAGACAAAAACCACACACACACACACTAAACCCTCTCTATTTCACAGACTTGTATTTGCTCTGATGAAGAGCCAGGACCTTCTGAGACCTCATCAAACAACAGCACTGCAGTAAGGGAGACTATTGAGTGAGGCGATAATGGACAACTCGAGACGTAGCGGGAGAAGAAAAGAAAAAGGACGATGTGTGAAAAAAAAAGGAGAAACCTGAAAACACCATCAGGAGTCGACCAAGGGCAAAAAAAAATAAAAGAAGAAAAAAAATAAATCAATGTTCCATTTTTCTCCTCTATTTGGTTTCATTTTCCCTGCATGGCACTTCACCGCGGGGAACGTGGGGAAAAGTGTGTTGCAGCGACAAGGAGCCACATATGGCGGGGAAAAAGAAATAAATGACTCACATCCTCAAAAACAGTGAACACTTGACAAGTCAAAGCACACCTGACACGATGTCCGAAGCTATTGGAGCAACGGTGTGTCAATAAAGGTTCTGCTTGTCTGTCAGATCTGCAACACGTGCAAACAGTTCTGCCCTAAAAGACTTCACTTTGTCTAATCTACCCGCGTTCCAGTTTTGATTTTCTGAGTGACATTTCCGCTCCATTTTTTTTTTCTCAAAATGAAGAATTTTGCTACGCGGGCATCACACAACAAAGCCTCACAGTCCACACCCCGAATCTACTAAAGTTGTCCAGGGTGACAGATGTTTGTCATCTTTTTTTCCAGATGGGGAGAGCCAGGAACAATTTCCCTAAGTCACGACTGGGACCCAAAAGAGCGTGGCGGTCTGACGTGTCTGCCCAGCGATGTGGCCCTCCGACAATTACAGAACATTAGGACAGGACGATGGCCAATGTCCCCTGAGCTGAGACAAATTGCAGGGGGGGGCGGACTACGCAAAATAACTACTGGGTGCATTTAAATGGAAAGCTTTACCAGACACTAAATCATTGTGCAATAACTAATCGGCATCCGCTCGTCGCCTGTCAGTGAGGAGACAACGAGCAACGCAATCACTTTCCTTCCTTTTAACTAAACACCAAAATTGACTGGCAAGGCACCCGTCTTCCCCTCCTTTATTTTCTGCCTCAGTGCCCTGAAAGATGCCAAATGAGAGCGAGCAGGAGAGGGGTGAAATCACTACCCTAAAAGGCCTATTGATGCATACGCTTTGAGGGGGGGGGTTGAATTTGAAATACTGCAGGATTCAAAAGTCTATGCATCTTATGGTATGTTGGTTGTTGTTTTTAATCTTCAAAAAAAAGAATAACGCAATTGAGCCACTGCTGGCTTAGATTACATTTTTTTTAGAAGAAGAAAAAAAAAGGGAAAACTTTACATTTTAAATATTATGCATTCATTAAAAGAAGAGGTCCCAGGAACTCTTTTGAGCAAGCTAATTGAAGGGTATCTTTATGCTTTAAGATTTCTTGTTCACACACTTTACTGCTTTTAAACAACAAAAGCATACATGATTAACTGCATCATGGCTTAGTGAAAATAACTTTCAAAAACACCAGTTTAAAAAGAGATATACAAATGCATGCCTCTGGTTGAGCGGGGGCTTGAAAACCCGTGCTTACTCGAACCGTGAGAGCTTAAACTTACCATTGGCCGATTAAATTGAAAGAAATTTTAAAAAAAAGGGAAGGGGAATAGGCTTGTTTCCAGTGAGCCAGAGATCAATGCATTTCAATTCAAACCCCCTGCAGGTGGACCTGTCCCAAAGCCATGGCCCTGAAAGAGTGGAAAAGGTAGAGGGAGAGAGGGCGGGGGCCGGGGGCATTGGTGGGAAATGGGGCATGAAGCTCACCATCATGTAGCACAGAGCAGGTCCTTTGGCAGTCTTTACTTCTGCCATATTGTTGTGCTAAACGCGGCCCATACAGCACAGAGGAAGGCTGTGGATGAACTTAAAGCGAGTAAATTTCTATCTTTCCACATATTAGTTGCCTCATTGGTTTTCAATCGAAGCCCAAAGAGGCAGAGGGGCAGGAAAGGAGGGGAGGGAGATAGAAGAGGACGGTAAAAAAACAAAAAAACATCTTTGGCGCAATGGGTTGGAAATGACGCTTAAATCACCACGTTTCAAGGCGGTTCTTCTCTTTAATATGCAAACATGGCAAACTCAGACAAGAAGAAAACATCCTACACTTGCTTTGCTGAGGAGACATCTTTTTGGTTAATGTCGGAACCTCGGCCGAATTTAGTGGGGAACAACACGCACCTCTACGTGGAGGGAAAGGCTGTAGTGGGACACAGGGAGCCATCGCTAAGCATTACAGGTCAGACCAATCACGCTGACCTCTCTGCTCCAAGGCACACATACACCGGCAGGCCCGCTTCCTTCCCCTGCGGGCGGCCTTCAGCCCGGCCTTCTCTCCAGCCGGCCATGCGACCAGCAGAAAACAAGTTCTCATTTCCTCTAGGTGAGCGGGGGCCTGGCGTCACGCTCCTTTACTCCTGGTCAACACGAGCGGTGGCCCTTCGCCCCCCCCCTGATCAAAGGGCGCAGCGGGGCCCGAGGAGGCTCACTGACACGGGCTATAATTAAGACAGAGGTGATGTTTTAATGATCGGGGACGAGTGTCGGGCGGCCTCAGGGTGCTCATGTGTGGAGAGGCAGAGAGAGGAAGTGGCGGACAAACTCTTGGGTGCGGGGGGGGATTCTATTAATTGGTGTATTATTGAACAGATCCGATTAATGTAACATTAGAGATGTAGCATACTGAACGGTAACAGCAACCGGATCCGGCAACGCCAACTACGGCTGGACCATATGCTTTAAATCTAAGCATGTGACATTGTTGCATTGCAATGCGGCCATGTCCAATCAACCACTAGCTCAACAGGTCACTGCTAATATTAAAAGTGACCGCACACGTCTTCACGGAGGGTTAAGATGCTGCCAGATGGAGGCGAGTAAAAAAAATAAAGTAAAAATAGGCCATTGTTCTACAGGTGAGGTGGTTCGGGGTTATCGGGAAGGATACCGCGTTAATCACAGAGTAATCTGAACTCTGCTGACTCTTATCTACAGGAGAACATATGAGCGACCATTCGGACATTTCCTAATCTGACTGCGTTGAGCAGAGAGGGGCTTTTGTATCACTTGCGGGGGCGTTGTGGGGTTTGAATAGTTGAGGTCCGCCCTGAGCCTTTAGGGCTGTAACTGGAGGAGAGGGAGAGTCCGATACAGAGGGGAGATACCAGGAACAAGATGACCTCTTTAGGGTTGACCTTCTAGGTCGAGCAAAATCTGTCATGTTGGTTTGAGCATTTTGGTTGGAAAATGCATCATGATGATGTGAAACTTAGTTCTTCCAATTCCCGATTGGCATTAACGTCCAGCTTTAAAATGCATTTAGATGAATATTAAGCCTGAGAATTACGTTAGTTATTGTGTTGTTGGCATTGTTTACTCTGACCCTCATTAACAAACATACTTTATAAAAGGAACAATTGCCGAAAGGGGGCAGAGGTTGTGGCCACAAAAAAACTACAGTTCAAAAAAAACTGCCTGTTCAAAAGGACAATATATAATTTTGTGCCCTGGGTAATATATTCAAATCCTTTTACCACTGTGGACCCTTGCACCATAAATATTTCATTGTATTTAATGCCATTAATCGATTCAATATTGGGGTAACTGGTCCAACCCCCCCCCCCCTGAATGAATCAGTTACACAATACGGGCATCACACATTGCTATGCTATTGAGCCGGTTCGCCTCATTCTCTTTTAAAACATTTCTCCGCAGGACGACCAATAGAGGGGCAGCGGAGGGGTGGGAAAGGGACAGAGAAAGAGAGATAGAGGTCGGAGTTACAGTGGCTCTGCCCCTGCATCTCCACTCCGGCAGCGCGGGGACCCCCTCGCCTCCGCGTGACACCCCGTCCATTGGGGACTCATCCGTCTGGTGCGCCGCCTTTGTACTTTACTGTTACTGGTGACATTTTGGTGTCACGGTGTCACGCTGAAATGGCTCCCCTCCCACGTCGCAGCCCGCGGCGCCGCAACCAGTGGAACAATGAGGGCCCGAGGAGCTGGGGCTGGAACTCAGGAGGCCCCAGCTGGGGCGCAACGCCCTAACCCACCCCACCGCCCCCCTCCTCCTCCCCCCTTCCCGGCTCCCATGAAATCGGGAATTAGTCGAAGCGTTGCTGACGACAAGTCAGTGTCTGTGTGTCCCGGGCTCTTCCCAGGGCCCGGCGAAGACCCGGGGTGAGGAGAGACACAGGCGCAGACACAGCGAGCGAGGGATGGGAGATTCGGGGTCACCGAGGGCAACCTGTGCGTACTGCTTTGACCCCCCCCCCCGCCCCGACCCCAGCAGAGATCAAACTCCATCTCGCCCATGGACATGTGGGAGAGCGAGTGGTGCTGGTCTCTGATGGCGCTGGCATGGGTCAGCAGAAGGGACAGCAGCTTCACCGGCGTGATATTTTTACTGTCACTGCAAGTGAAGGATGCGCTTTTAATAGTAGAAAAACAATTTTGAGTTCTACTTCTCTGTTGGGTGACAAATGTGTCATTTGTCTCTGGTTGTTCTGTTTGTTTTAGCACTAGAGTGATGATCATTTATGGAGGAGTACAATAGATGTATAACATCTGATCTGAAGAGAACGTTGACTACCCAGATTCTTTAATGTAGAAATCCAAAGATTTTATCTTTGGATAAGTTTTAAGTTTTATCTTATTCTTCACGTTTTCGGCGTCACTACTGATATAAATGTCTCCAGTTACATTTTTGGTCTGGAATTGATCGACATGTGAACTGGTCTTACCTTGGGATTTTCCAGGATGCCGGACTCATAACTGCAAAGTAACATAATTAAGAAAATGACTGAAAGAATAAAATATTGAAGCAAGCTCAAGAATGTGAGGTCTGACCCACCTTATGTGCATGAGGTTGGCGTCCATGCTCCAGGGGGCCTGCGGAGTGACCGGCACGGGGATGCCACGTTTCTACGGTTTGACAGAGAGAGATGTTGTTATCTTACAGACCGTTTGCTGTAACCAAAGTGGCCCACGTTCAAAGGAAAAGTCAACAGTTCAGTGTTATACAGTGTTCAGAGGCCAGCGAGAGCGCGTTGATCCTTAAAACATGATCACCCTCTAGTGGGAAAAACTACAAACGTCCAAGGAAACCTGATGAGCAATCCACCCATAACTGTGTGACAAAGTGTAAGGATGCAATATATTACTATTGGATCTTTCACTAAAGATATGTGAAATCAATACACACAGTGAAGGGATTTAAGGATTTCATCTTTTGTTTAAAAACTGTTGCTTTTTTACAAAACATCTAAACAACAGTTAATTGATCTCAGGCCAGATACAGACTCAAAACATAATTGATAATGGAGCAAAGTAAAAACAGACAAACCAAATACTGAATTATTGATTTATTAATAATGGAATTAATCTGTAGTTGGCAGCACTAACACCACCGAATTGAACTGTGCTCATTTAGTCACATTTTACCTGTGCATATTCCATCAGGTCCTTTCTCCCCTGGAAGCGGTTATAGAATTCAGGGATCCTCCACGGTGCAATGATCTGACCAGCACCAACACAGAGAGAGAGGAGGAATCAGCCCGGCTGCTGCAGCATCATCATCATCATCTCGACAGATGCCACACACAATAAGCCATAACCTCCATCCAGTAAAAAAACCAAACAGTAAACTTACTTTAACTTCAGGGTAGAGGGCATAGCACGTGAGCTCAAAGCGTATCTGGTCATTGCCCTGAGAAACGCAAACAGAAAGGAGGCCAGCAGTGTTCAACTCTACATGTCTTTAACATATCATAGAATACAAAGAACACCACAAGAAAATACTCAAAGTAATTATTTAAATTATGTCACTCCGCTAATTGATGAATTGCCAAACAATTCAGCGCCAGTGTGCAGTGGTGGTTTAGCGGACTGAGGTTTTCGGATCGGTGTTTTCATTTTGTTCTCCATTAATTGTTTTTTTAAAAGGGGATGAATTATAAAATCTAAAAAAGGAAGCAAAGCGCACCGAGGTCTAGTTTCCAAAATGTATGTGGTTTCTGTCTCCATCTACAGGAAAACTGGATAATCTGTATTTCACTAACAACTGAAATGTGCAGCAGACGGCGACGATGACAATGACGTCAGTCTCAGATTGGCAGAAAACATCGGATTTCTTCAAAAAATAAATGAGCTGCGGCTCTGGGAGGGGCAGATTTCTGAGTTGCTCTTTGGTCAAAAAAAAGTTAATGTTTAACCCTCCAAAACTGGCCCAAATTGTACGGTACAAACTACAGACCAGATTAGTTTGCATTTAGAGAAGACTCATCCACGAGGATTAGCCACACGGAAAGTTATGTGTTAAGTGTTGAGGGTTCAAATCCAGTGCAAGAAAGTGGTCTCTTCCCCCAGATCTACTCCCTTCTGTCCCGGCTGCACTATAAAATTTGGCGCTCTACCGATTAAAGAATTGCTGGAATGTTTCAGCATTCCAACATTGAAATGAAAATATACTAATAAAGATTTCATTTGGGTCAGGGCTTTAGTCACATGAGCAGGCTTCTTCTCCTTCGATGCGGTCTCAGGTTTACCTTCCCTGTGGCACCGTGGGAGACAAACTGGGCGCCCTCCTTGCGAGCGATCTCCACCTGCCGGCGTCCGATGCAGGGCCGCGCTACGGCGGTGCCCAGCAGGTACCGGTCCTCATAGACGGCGTTGGCCTGAACCGCGGGCCAGATGAAGTCCTCCACGAACTCGGAACGCAGGTCTTCAATAAAAACCTGTAAGCAAGAACGTACGTCAGTACGCGGCGAGTATGTGATGTGAATGCAGAAAACGATTCCCATTCATCATCACCACATGCTTTGACATATAACCTTTTGGTAATTGTCTTTCCTATTAGACTCCAAAATAGTATAATAATTGTTGAATTGGTCAATATTCTATTTCCCCCGATTCAGACAGAAACGGGCACTCGTTCTGTCGCTTACCTTCTTTGCGCCAAGATCTACTGCCTTTTTCTTGGCAGCTTCAAAATCTTCCTCCTGTCCAATGTTGGCCTATAAAAGACACACCGGATTTAGTCAAGCTTCCGTTCAGAGCGCTTGTGGAATAACATGCAAGCCACCCATGTACACACACGCCCGCTCGTGACTGTGCAAGCGTTAATTCTGCCAATCCATGAGCTTGTAATTCAGATCACATCTGGCGACACGTTGGAATCGCCTCACAGAAGCTGAACACTGAACAAGGAAACACATTCCTGAAAAGACACGATACCAAACATGCAGCTAAACGCCGAACCGTGCTGGTGAGGTTTTATTTATTTGACAAAACCTGATTGTGACGCTCAGTGGTGCTAAAACAACGTTCTCCCATTCCTTGTGGATTGCATGTACAGGGCTCCTTCTTTCACATTCCAGGGAAAACCTGACTGACTGCTGATTTGCTGATGCAATCGTCTGTAAACTTCCAGAAGCGACAGGATGGTGTGATCAGACACAACGAATTATGAATTGGATCATTGACGGATGTTTTTCTTCTTCTTCTTCTTCTCCCCCCGTGGAGAGCCATAGCCGAAAAAAGAAAAAAAAGAGGTGGAGGGCCGGGCCTCACGTCAATGAACTACAGACAATCACAAACCACAAAGCCTCTGAATGAAAAGTCGGACGTCACGAAAATCTGCCTGCTTTGCATTCCCAAACTGCCCCCCTGGCAAAAAGTAAATCCACCTAGATTTGCGCCGACATTCTGGAGCCAAATCCAGCGTGGCTTGGGAGTTAACTGGCAACAGCTCCGACAGGTTTCACCAACAACCTCCAAAGTGCTCATACGACAGCTTGCGTCAGCTGCTTGAAAACGTTAAAACGTGAAGAGGCTTGACATGCAAACGCAGCTGGTAGGAAGCACAAACGGAGACACTTGTTTCTCCCTAAACCTTACCAAGAAGGCGATCACATCGTAGCCCTGTTCCTTCAGCCAGACCAGAATACAGGACGTGTCCAGTCCCCCGCTGTAGGCCAGAACCACCGTACCTTTAGACATGATGAGTCAACAGGTGGAGAAGCTGAGGGGAGGCAAAATAGAAGAGGCCATTTCTTTCTTTAGGTCACCTGCTGTCAAAGCGTTGTTGATGTATAACCTGAGTGAACTATCAACATTTGACTATAAAAGTGGGATTTTTCACATTATTTGCTCATTGGACCAAAATAAAAACAAAATGCATTAAGAAATAAAAAACATGAACAACACCACAGGGGTTCATCTCGTTAATGATTTGGGTGCATTTTAAGTGTCATCTACCATTCGAGTATTTTTTTGGCAGTTTTTGAAACATCTGAGTTCTGAGCAGGTTAAGCCATCCTCTGCCTGTCAACACATTTTCTTTTTACATCTGCGGTCAACAGGCGTTAGACATTTCTGATGATGTCGCATCACTAGTGATTTTGCATCGTGTCGCAGCAGCTGGCGACCACGGACGTCTTTTGAAATCACGACAGAAAAAAACCCCATCATATCGAAATGAATACATAAAAAACAAGAGGGTGGCTTCTACTTACCAAAGAGTGATTTATGTGAGATAAGGAGGCGGTTTGTCGCTGTCTGACGGACTGGCGAGCGCAGCGTGTTTAATTCATAGATGGCTTCGTTTTGATTGGTCCAATGCACATTGCATCATGCCGAGGGGCGTTGTGGGAAATGTAGGATGCAGAGTCAGGAGCGATCGCCTCGCCGCTGCGCGAAGTTGACTGAAGAATTGCAGAAAAAGGACATAAGTGATGAAGGTGTTGATTATTTATGCCGAAATCTATATACGTTTACGTATGTTTACAAAGATTTATTTTTTTTAAATAAAGTTTGAAATATATTAAAAATCCCAAATGCTATACCAACATTGCCATAATAATATATACAGCTCAATGTAACATAGTGTATCCTTTTCTTTTTATTTATTTGCATTATGTTTTTATCTCTGACTATATATTTCGTCCACTGCCCTCGAGTGTTTAGTGTTTAAATGTGTGTATTTTGAGGTTTCTTATTGACAATTTGTAATGAACCCACACAAGGACAGAGTTCCTGATGCAAATATCCGGCCCAGAGTTCCCATGTGGAGAACGGAATGCTACAAAATGTTCATGGCGGCATACTTTCAGTCCACGACGCATTAGTAATAGATTGCACTCTAGCTCTGTTAGCAATTGTACAATAGTTTCAGTCCGTGGGTGTTTTTGAGGTACCATTGCATCCCCAGCAGGCCAAACCCACTATCAACTGTGTCCACTTTTGACTTGATTGTGATGTGTGACATACTATTATGCTACACAAATATGAACAGACACAACAAACACCCTACCAGCTCCACAAGTCCTGTTACAGCAAGGTTATGATACCGTTGTCCATTAGAGGTCAGTCTTTGAACACACGTCCATATAAACTTTTCCTCCAGTCACAAAAAACAATATTTTCTGAATTTCTAATAACTCTTTTCTGAGAAGCTGTTATATATAATGAGTCCTGAAGAGGACCGTTTGCAGCTTTATGCTCGTACTCCATTAGCTACCTAATTGGGGCAGAACTAACATTTGTTTCATTATATGTTCTGCTAACGTCCTTCAGACTGAGCACATCAAAAGGACTAAAAACCAAGGCAGTAACTTTTTATTTGAGCTTTTATTTCTTCGCCACAAAGTTCCAAAATCAAAAAACAAGTGATCAAAAATACAATATAAACTTTTGAAATCAATACACTGAATATATTTTTTTTTATTTATTTATTTCTTACCCAGGGCAGAAAAACACTGAGCAAGTCCAGATATCTAGAGACTCTGCGAAGTCCTCTTTGCTTTTCTACATCGCAGATTACGTTGTTTCACGTTGAACCTCCCGCTCATCCTCCCCCATCACATACAGTTCACTAGTTAGGCATTCGCCAAAGACGTACAGTACAAAATGGCAAAAAACAAGTCCTGGAGCTAACAACTTTCAATTAAGCATGACTGCAATGCACCAATTTGAACAGAATGTACACCCCGTCCAACCCCCCCCCTCCCAACCCCCAAGTCAGTTGAGAGTGAAGATGCAAAGATGTTTGAAAGGCTACAGTTTGAGGAGAAAAAAAAAACTGGGAAAATGTAACCTGGAGAGTCGAGGCGAGCTGCTGTCAAATCAGTGCTCAAGTTCGATATGAAGAGTACGTCTCTGACACTAAGATCCAAAAAGACAAGCATCCAGAGCCAAGCCAGTGCCAGATTGAAAATATGAGTTATTATAATTTATGGCATGATAATCACAAAATACGATACATTACTTTAATCCCTTCTGCAAACAGAACAAATGAACCTTTTTTTAAGAATTATGCATCATTTATAAACCTTGCACTTTGAAATAGGGCTTTTGTATTCTTGTGATGAAAAAAAATCTGGCATGTATGACGTAAAATATATATATATAAAAAAAAAAATTAAAAAAAAGAATAGTCCATAAATGGATGAGGTGGTGTTAATGAATTAATAAAAAAGAAACTAGAAAAAAAAGAAAATAACGTGTACCCTGGTGGGAGGAACGGGAGCTCTTCGAGTCCCAGTCGACGGGGGAAGTTAGTGGTGCTGTGCAGTCCTCTGATCTTAACCTCGCTTGGCCTACCACTCTTTCTTTTTCTCATCCATGGACACTCCGCCAGGTCCAAGTGCCACCACTAACAGCAGACCACCAATGACCGAGGTGGTCTGGAAGAAGTCGTACTTGAGGAAGTCGTGCATGGGCTTGTAGGCGGGGACGGTCCAGAAGGCGTTGAAGTAGACGTTGATGGCCAGCAGCCACACAACGAGGGTTAATGCCGCCAGCTTGGTTTTGAAGCCGATGGCCACCAGGATGATGAGTGCGGTTCCCACCATGTTCTGCAGGATCTGTGGGACAGTTAAAGCAGGTGGGTGAAGATTTGCACTCACACAGATGGCCATTGACTGACGGGCAAGCTTCAAGTGGGAAAGTCTCAAAAACTGAAATGTTGTTTTTGGATTTCTGTACAGATTTAATATAGCACTTCAGTTATTTGCTAGTTGTTTCACAGCCATTAAAACAATTAAACACATCTAGCCCTCCACACAACACAGCGACAAGTGACACGATAGCAGGCAGAGAGACTCGTAGCAAAACAAGCACAAAGAACTCCGATAACCGGCTCTCTGCTGTTAAGTGTCACACAGTTGCTAAAGGCTGCCTTTCGTCACAGTATAAGGTGCCGTGGGTGTTGCCAAAGCCGCTTTATTAAACCTTGGGAATGAGAACAGGCTGCAGACCGCGCTCACTGGCTGGGGGGGTTACGCAGCCTCGTGGGGCCCAAAGCCTCTTTTCCGAAGCCAGGAAACGTCAAAAACACAGATGTGAGAGTAAGAGGGACACCGCCACACACTTCTCATGGGTCATAAGTCTTTGGATAAGTGAATAAAGTGTAGTTTCATCTTCGCCTTAGTCCAACAGCTTTATTTTACTATGTCTGTGTCTACCTAATGAAACTAGGGTTATTGTTCGTTGTCAGCACTCACAGAGAAGAAGTTGGAGTCAAAGTGCAGCAGAGTCATGAACATGAGCACCAGCAGCACTCGACCACCCAGCTGCATGTACTGCTTTGGCGAACTCTCTCCCATGGAGGGGACGCCGGCGAACATGCTCTTTCCTTCCGAACGAGACTCGGCCAGCAGCAGGAGCAGACCACCTCCGAGGGCCAGGTTTCTGGGGAAGGTGAGAGGACGGTTACCTTTGGACAGTGTCTGTAACCTCTGCAAAACAATCCCTCGATTACGGAGCACGCAGTCAGATGTCCCGCTGATTGTACAACCGACTGAAATAAGCACTGACAATACTATGCTTCCTTAATATCAAGGAATCTGTGTATTTTGTTCAATAAGCCACTTACTCGCTTTGTAACAGAATTGCAAATGTAAACCCCAACAAGGCTTATTTTATTTTTGAAATGTCTAAATATGGTATTTTAAACTAATTCAAAAGATCAATCATTAATAACTTAAATTGCCTTTCAGAACTCAAGTTCACCGTAACTTTGTACGAACTGCATAAAAGGTGCAAAAGTAAAGACTGCAGAAGCAGAACAATATGTATTTAAGGGATTTCTCTAACGGCCGATGACTTGTTGCCGTTCAAATAAAATCACAGGTCTTGGTGACTAATTGTTGGTGCCTGCTTAACAATTATGAACTGTCCTCCTTCACTAGGAGGACAAAATGTTCAATGCTGCATTAAAAAAAGCACTGCAGGCTGTAGAAGTCATTAAGACACTTCTCCTGTATGTTCACAAGCAGGGAAATGCAAATAAATCACAGCAGAAAACACCCGTCAGTGCAGGATTTACAATGAATGTACACCCCTTTGGCAAATAATATTCTGATTTGGACCTTTTATTCCACACATTTGAATGAATACTCTATTAAGACACTGAATTAACAATTTGGTATTCACGGATGGCCAAGGATGTTTGGGAGACAATAAGCTGGTGCAGCCAGATATATAATTTGTTTAAAGAGTTTGTTGTACTTTATAGGTTCAAAAAAACTAAAACATATACACAGAGACACTTACCTCATCAAAAACTTGAGGTCCCATAAAATGCTGTATGCAACAGTCTGGTGGGGAAAAAAAGACATTCCAGATCAGATAACAAAAGACACATTGCTGGTGAAAATAAAAAATGTCATTGTAATGCAATTGTCCTCACCTGTAGCGCTATGATGCCAAATAGTCCAAAGCAGGCATACTGTACAAAATTTCTACTAAGGATGAGGACGCAACCACCTGTTAAGACAAAGAAAGACAGACAAGAAAGACGGTGTCTTATGTTTAACTTATTAAACATGATTAAACCCCTCATTTCAGTTATTTTTCCGTGAATTTTGCTGTTACGATGCAGCTTTTCTTATGCAATATATCAAAAGGGGTCATAGAATCGTAGGACAGGAAACCAGGGTAATATAGCTTTGTAGCCTCTATTCCAGAATTTACTGGAACAGAACATGAGATCTTGCTACATTTTTGATCAATGCCTTCAACAGTGTGTAAACTTCCCACCTATTTGCTTCAAAGTTCAAGGAGCTTAAGGATGCAACACTGCAACCGATTTGTGGGAAAGTGTGCTGCCACTTGGCTTCCTTCAACCAGTCTTGTCGGTCACCCATGACAGCAAGTTTGCAGTGTTTGTTTCAATCTATTGCATAACCTTCTGCAAACTGTAGACACAATGGCGGTGGTCTAGTTTGGTTCCAAGTTTTGGAATCACACACCACAAAAACTAGGGACAGCAGGTCATGTCTCACCCAGCTGTCCTAGGAGGTTGAGCAGCACAAAGGACGTAGCCAGGAAGTAGCCACAGCTCCAGGTGGCCTCGATGTAGTCCCGCTGCTCATTCCACTGGAACCACATGCGGATGCCATCTTCCAGGAAGGTGCTGATGAGACACAGACGCGCCAGGTGGGGCAGATACTGTTTGGTTATCCTCAGGAACTGCGCAACAGAGAAAAAGTGAAGAGGAAATGATTGACAAGAAAAACGGAGGTTTGAAGTGTACAGAACAGTCAAAGGATGTGGTTTCTGATGCGATCCTGAGCTTGCTTACAACAACATGACCAGGAAACCATATTACTGGGTGACCATGCTGCAACACACACAACTGGATTTCATGAACAGTCCATTTTAGACTAAGAATATTCTGATCTGTAACTTCTTGTACAGTAACATAAACAGTCCATTATTTAAAGGAATGGCAGCTTTGTGTGGAATTCCAACTTGTGAAGCAGCTTTTTTTTTATTCATTTTTTTACTTTGTTTTAGTAAGTAAATTCAAAGTACACACTGTTCGTTGTATTTACTTTACTAAGTTAGACCAGATTAGTAGTTTGGTACATTAGGTGCCGTTTGAAACATCAACACAGGTTATTCACTCTCTAAAATATTACAGAAATGAAAAAAGAGACGAAGAGATCATACCATATACAATGTTCTACTCCTACAGATGACTCATCTTGAATATTTAAGCAATAAGACAAGATGCTAAAATGTACTAACTAAACACTTAACTGGATTTGAACACATTGAAGTTTATAAGAAAGCAGGGTTGAAGTTCTGTCACGGCCCACAAATGGCGAGACAATAACTGCTGTGCATCCCAGCTACAGTTCTGAATGCAAAGTGCTTTTGGTGTTGCCATGAGCTGCAGTACAGCAATTGGTTGCACAACAGAAAGAAACCGCCTTGCAATCTTCTCGCGAACATATTTAACGAACAGATCCTCAGTCAGTACAGTGACCCAGTAGAGGTGCAGCAACGTGCCCACGGCCCCGCCCACACAGCGGTCCACATCAGCACTGGAAGACGTCGACAGCCTATCGGCGTCCACCAACTCCCACTGTGACTTCCACGTGGGACATGAATGGACGACATGGCAGCCAATAGGAACGAGGCCCTGCAACAGTCTGCAAATAGACCATTTTGGAGCAAGTAACACGTTAGCTTAGTGCCCCTTGGTGATTTAGGTCCCTATTATGGGCCTATTACAAAGAGAACCAAGCAAGACTTCCCTTTTTTTAAATGTTATACAATACACCAGAGTTTAGGTCATCTGTTTGTATATTGGATTAGGGAACAGGAGAAAAAAAACCCTGCAGTATTTGTGACATGTGTAGTGAGCGAGCTCAGTCAACACAGCTGCCATAAACCTACACGGACAGAACTGACTGTAGGACTTGATTTAAATAACGGTGACGGCCACCATTAAAAAGCCTGTCCAGCCCCGCAAAGACACAATGTCCAGCACACCGGCCTCTTACGAGCCAGACCACAGTCACTTTCTCAAATAAAAATAATAAGCAGTAACTGCACAAGGATACGAAACCAAATATATGGAACTCGCCTGCATTGCTACAATGGTCACATGCACACCTGTAATCGGATTTCTGCATCTCAGCTCCCCTCTCAGTGGATTAGATGCAGTAAAAAAAAACAGCTGTGGTATGTTTAATTAAGTCCACTTTATGGGGTGAGCTGTGTGGATGGACACGCTGTGTCAAGACCACAAGCAGACATTAGGTTTAGGGAGAAAAAACAAAACCGATGCTTCTCTTACACTGAGCCACGAGCAATGGCAACCGATGAGGTGGTTAAATCACACGTTGACACATAACCGTTAACTGCTAGCGCAGAACTTGGGAGGCTTAACGGAGTCATTTCACAACTGCTGTCTGGAACGGTCTGGCCGGGATACTGTCAATAAACCAGGCAGATACAAGGCAACAAGTTAACCGGTACAGCCATATGTATACCCGGTGTGGTGAAGTTAAGACAGCTTGGTAAAATAAAAACATCAGTTTCACTTTGGTCGGCGTGAACGCTGAGTGATCCAACTGGAGACACATGACAGTACGACATTTGTCATTACAAATTAGCTATCGTCGTTGATTTAAAAAAAAATGACAGGCGAACGCCAGGCGGTTGTATTCTGTAAATGTGCAGATACGTTAATACGTCAAAAGCCGAACGTCACTTTAGGTTCTGAGGCTAAACTAGCTAACGCAGTTAGCGGCTACCATGCTAACGGCGGCTAGCGCGACCGACCGCCGTGCTACGGTCGAAGTTACCTGGTCCGCCACGTCTTCGGCTGTGCTCATGAGATCCTCCTGTCCCATGTTTGTGTAAAAATGCGATTTTTAACAGCTAAAGCTCAGCGCGAAACACACTTTTTTGGAATGTGTTGTTTTGTCGCAGGCTGCACTAGGACTGCTCCTCCCCCCCCCAGTTAACGTTATTTACTTGAAAAGATTTTCCCCGACCGGCTGTACGCAGAGAAAAGGCCGCCTCCGCCCCACAATGCCCCGCGGTTAGCCGAGAGCGACAGAGCCCCCCCTACATGCTACAGCAACGGCTGCATGCCACGTATACTCATCCGTCCAGGGGCCCGACGCCGCGGCATGCTGCAAAAACACACGATCATTACAACCCGAATTGAATTATTATTTTTTTAACTATAATTTGTAACGCGTGTTCAACCTTGCGGATGTAATCCGTGCACCGCATTTAGAAGGTTGTACTTTGGTGACAGATCTCGACTCGTTTCTCAAACTTTGTTATCCTTTATTAATGAAAATTACGATTATGAAAATGAAGAGCTATTCACTATTGAACAGCTCCTTCATTCAAAAACAAACAAACATTTCACATGTTATATTTAAAGTTCATTTTCTATTTCTAGTTATGATTCTGGTGGCAAAGCGATCAGCCTGCAGAATTTTTGGATGATTTTGTTATCATACAATAATTAGAACTTGACCAAAAAAAGCATTGCATATAGATGAATATTGCAGAAACCATCATGATTATCTTAGTGTTGGGGGCTGAGCCATTTCTCTTATACTGGAGGTACTTGTGGGATTTCGATGATGTTGACGGTGACGGAGTGCTTTCCAACAGGTCTGTCCATGCTATGGATGTACAGTCAAAACCCAGTGAATGTAAAAGCTTGTGGGTGAAAGCATTGTCTTTTAAGATGCAGGGAAAAATCCATAAATGTCTTCAACCACGTAGCTTATTTTCTTATTTTGCTTTTTGCCTTCAGCTAACAGCCCTGCTAATTCACTCACAAATACATGGCTGTTGGTTACTGTAAAGATGATGAACAAGACTGCAACAAGAGAGCGGAGCCACGTGAAGGGGGCCTGACGGCTTGTTAACTGTAGAGACCAAAGACACAGAGAAACTCTTGACGTGGACTCGGTTGGCCAAGCAACCAAAAAAAAAAAACTTGTTTTCACAAACTGTAGTTTAGCGTACATTATTCCAGCTGATGTAATTTACTACTAGATGTTTAGAACACAAAAGTGATAGACAAGATGTCAGAATCTTAAATTACCCTTTACATCAGAACAAGAACTTGCTGCATCGAGTGGCAGGAGACAAAGTGATATTTCTTGATTGAATGTTTTTTGGCAGAACCTGTTCATCCTGAACATATTTATTGAGGTTTTGTTATCATTTCTTTGTTTTTCATGCTCTACCTTCAGCTTCTATATTGTCTATTTGATTAACCATGGGTTAAAAATGCAATTTAAGTCTCTTTGGATAAAAGCGTCGGCCAAATGACATGTAATGAAGACCCCGGTGCAAAATGTCTAAACCCTATAAGCAAGTATGCGTGCAACAGATGTATGAAAATTAGATGCATGTTAAGCTATATTTCTCTTGACAAATGAATGAAATTATTTTATAAATAGTACTTCGATGTCACATGATGACACAGCTGCTGTTTGTAAAGGTAATTCCTATTTTTTATCAAAGATATATCTATAGTGAAAAAAAACACACACAATGTTTTCCAGTCCAAACAGTTGTATTTTACATCAGCACACCTGGACAAACCATACAACACAACTCATCCAGTGGACACTGCGCCACGTGAATCAGCCTCTTTGGAACTTTGCAGCATCACACCTTGGTAAACAGACCTTTCATATGCTAAAAATATGAAAAATCTACTCTGTGTTCAACTGCACAAAAGTTCAGGCCGGCTCAGAGAGGAATACTACTCTACAAGCTAGAAGTGCAGAGTTGCTTCCTGACAAATTAACTGCAAGAATGCCGTTCTGCCGGTTATTTTCCATTTGGGACTTTTCCAGATTTCTTGCGCCCTGATTTATTCTTGTAATTATTATTTCTGAATTTCTTCTGAAAACCACCGCCTTGTACCTGAAAGAGAGAACAGCATTAATGGCAGTCAAGGAAATAGTCTGAACTGATTTCACATGAAAGATGTCATCTCATATTTCCACAGACCTTCTTCCGTTTCTGCAGGCCCTGCGATTCCACCTCCATTTCCTCCTCCTCGTCTGTCTTGAAGTTATCTTCCGCCTCATTATCAACACAATGCGTAGCGTCTTCAGCCTGGTTTTTCAAGGTGAACATAGTCGCTGTAGAAACACACGATGCAGCAAAGTCAGACAGCGGACTCAGGACGACCCGTCGGACCATAACAGCCATCGTACAAAGTGAGACACTTGGCATACTAACGAGGGTAGAGGTCGCTCATGCTGTCTTCGGAGTCGCTTTGGTCGTCGTCGCTGGATGAGGGTTCCCACGACTTACTCCCTTGATTTGAGGGCCTCTCGCGAGGGTCTTCTCTGGTGCCTTTGGGCCTTTTTTGTTTCAGCGCGGCTGGAACGAACTCAATCCCTTGCTTCACACACTCTTCATCTAGGGCAGGAAGGAGAGGAGACGCGTCACGTCAGCGGTCAGGTTGACGGTGTGAATTTTCCAATATATCAGCGGTGGACATGGACTGTATAGTGACATTACTAATGGAATATTAAAAGAGCTTCTGATCTGGGTGATGTTTATTCCAATTAAAAATATTTGACTGTGTCAGGGTGCAAACATACAGCTTGATGAGGACTGAATATTACATGTCTATCAAGTTAGAATCAAAACTCCACGAGACTATTGTGACTTGATAACTGCTTGGATGACGTGGAGATGGCAGTGCTGTTGTTCTGATTTTGTTCATTTACAGAAATAGGTTTGAAAATCTTGGCCAAGCAAATTATAAACTATGGCATCAACAGATGTACAAGAGATAGCTCTGATTTCCTTCCTGAATGGCGGTGAGCATCACGCAGAGAGCGTACGTGTCTCCTTAGGCGGCGAAGGAAAGTGCAGTGCATGTAGATAAGCGATGCACTGACATTTGCAGAGGGCTTTCTTGAAGCGTTTCCCGTTGACATGCCGCAGGACATGATGTGGCTGCCGGTTGAGGTGTCGGAGGGTCAGTTTACAGAACAACTGCTTACTGGGAAAACAAGACAGGAAGCATCGGATACGTTACACAATGAAACAAATGCAAAGCAGTGTCGTCATCTGGAGCAATTTCTTAACAATTGCGACTGTGTCAAGTAAGATAAGGAAGGTGTTTTTACGGTGCAAAGGGGAAAAATGTCAGGAATTCCTCCTTACGGCTGTTTACTGCTGGGGACAACATGAGGTTCATACTGGCTGTAGTTGAACTCCGCGGCTGCACTCAGTGTCACATATTTCTTCCCTTTAGTGAAATTCTGCAGCTCCGTCAGGCTGCACGGCATCTCGTGGCCGTTCAGAGTGCATTTTATCTGAAAACCACAAAATAGAGTTTAGCAGACAGCGCAACTGTCGCGGCTCGTGGGGGAAACGCTAGCAGCGCGGCTAGCATAACAACGCGCGAAAGTGGGGGGTTTCGCGTAATCGGGCGGATTTAGCTGGCGAACCTTTTTGCTATCTGTAAGCTGGAGAAAAGGGTGGTTGAGGAGAAACGCTCTGAGGTCCGCAGCCAACTCGTCCATGGCGTAGAAACTCTCCGAGGAAGACTTTTCAAAGAGTGTTGATCGGTCCACCCTGACAGGAAATGAGTACACGTGGGTCGTCCACGCTGACTGTGTTACATGATATGTGGCGCCACCCACCGACCACAGTGCGGAAGGTCCGAATTAGGCATTCAGCAATTATCACGCTATCTTTCAAAAAACAAATGGATTCGGGGGTACCGATTTTGCTGTCATTATCCCGGGGAAACTCATTAAATAAAATAAAGCAGCAAAATAGTATTGTTTAACGGAACACATTACATCTGCTGCTTCAGCACAGAGCCGTAATTGAAGTCTATATCTGCCACTATTGTGACAATAAACGGAGTAAGCTCAGGTAACCATGCAGTGTGAACATAACTATTTACTGGCTTATGTCAGGCGCTAGTATGTCAGGCCTCAACTGACTGAGGTCATCAGACAGCTCGGAATAACAAAGAACAATTGAAGATGGCTCACTCTGTTTGTTGTTCCGGGAAGATTATTTAAGGTGTAGGATTTAAGACATTTGAACTCGGCTAATCATCTCTATTTCTGTACAGAGTGAGTGCTCTTTCTCACTACAACAATATCTTTACCGTGACGTTAAAGTCCCGCCCACAGATTTCCCAGCATTCAACACGTCAGTAAACAAATACCTGACGTTCACCAATGACAACTGTCAAGCTAGCCAGCGCAATCGGAGACTTCCTCTCGGAGTCCGTAGTTATACAAACTATTTAACAATACGTTACATATTTATAATTGAGTTAACGTTAGTTCATCATTTTGCTGAATTTGAACGTTTGCTTGTTAGTTTGCAAATGCTAACTAGCTGGCAACCTAGCTAGCGATAGTCATTTGTTAACATTCGGCAGCTAGTTGTAAGCGTGACACTTTGTTATTAAGTAACGTTAATTAACGTGAAGGATTAAGGTTGATTATGTCTGGACCAAATGGAGATCCAAATATCCCAATTGACGAGGGTATTATCAACGACGAAGATGAATTTGATGACGAAGGTAATGCGCCAATGAGCTTCAACTGGAGATCCCTGTTCAAATCCTCCATTTCTCTAACAGAATAAGGATTTGCTCGGCCAGCAAGCTTCGATTTGATTTCAACGACCTTAAAAAGCAATGTCAGTCCATATTTTGTATTTCTTCAAATTTAAAATGTATTTTTTATGAAGTTTTATAGGGTATTTAAAAATAAACACGCAGTAATTTCTTCACAGGTCAAATCTACTCTGATTTTAAGATGTCTTGATCTGATCTTGGTGCTGCGTATCCACAGAGTACGAATCCATCAACTCCATGCTGGATCAGATTAACTCCTACCTCGATGACCTGGATGATCGCAATGATTCACTTAATGGCAAACTGCAGGAACTAATGGAGTCGAACCAGCAAGCCAGGCTGGAGTTCAAGGCCCAACGGCACAGCTCCCAGACCCAGGAAGAGCAACGTCCTGCAGACGGGGATCCCTCCTTGGGCGTCAAGGAAGACGTGAATAACGAAAATGAGGATTCCAAATGAGTGATCGAAATATTTAGTAAACTCCTCACTCTTGTCGTACTAAATGACCCTTAATCTGCAAGGTTCCACCCTATCGGATTCTTTATTTTCTACAAACGGCAGATGTGACATTTTGCTTCTCAATCACCTCAACGTGGTTTTCTTTGTTGAGCTGTGAAATGCTGATGTTGGGTTCAGATTGTTTGACTTCTAGCAGCTAAATTGCACGCCGTAGTGACCTGTGACTGTCACGGTGTGTTTGTGTTGATGGTCATATCTGAGAAGCTGATTATGTCACTTGACAGTAACTTGACATTCCTCGAGAGTTCATCCTGATCTCAAGCATTTGTCTTTTTGACCAAATAGGGGTCATAGTTAAACTTCTTTGAATTGTGCAGATCCATTTGGTGTACGTGTGTTGCTTTGTGATAGCTTATCTCTGTTCCTCTTTGATTTATCCCAAAAAGTAATGATGTATAATAATGTATTAACCTGCTATGGCTGTGAATGAGCTCATGTGTAACTCAAATGATAGTCACAAAGTCAAGTGTGGGAATTGTCAGACATTTTAATATAAATTAAAATGATACCCTCGAAAACAGAAAACCAAAATACATACAACTTCCAGCAGTTAGAAAACCACACCTGTTTGTTCATCTCAATTTAGTCATTAGCTGAATAAAAATACAACAAACTTACAGCAGAGTTTGAATGATCCTTTACATGCCCTTGTTTTTCTCTCCCTTCTGTTCTCAAAGCAGTTTCATGTTTTGTTGCTTCAGCCAGAACACGATGCAGAACTAACCATGTGACAGTCACCACTATGACTACAAGAGCTTCTACATGCGTCATACAACCACAGATTGTGGTTTTAAAACATCCTCCAATGTGTCCAGCAAAGCACAATAGTCTTGAATCTTTGTCTGCTGAAATAAAGGAACTATAAATATACATTTGTAGAATCTACCAAATGGGACTGCTAGTCAAAATTAGAAATTTACGGTTTGCAAGGAGTTCCAAACACGGCACAGTCTCATCCTCTCATGACGTCAACTGTGATCCCATCCATCCAGTGTATAAAGCCAACAAAACATTAAGAAAAGAAAAGCAATGCAAAAAAACAAGCATCTACTAATAACTGCATTATCGTTCAATGGAAACGAAATGAACCTTTTCAGTCTAACAAGCTCTTCAAATGTCAAAATAAGCAAAATGCACACGATGCAGTTTTGTCCATGAATACGAGGGTTTCTTTTTTTTTACGCAGATGTGAAATGTTTTTTCCGACAAGTTGCTCGAGTTCAGCTCCTACAGAACGTTATGAATCCCAATACATAAAAAAATTAAATTAAAATGAAATTAAAACTGATCCAGTTGCTGATCCCATTTTAGTGAGAAGGACACAGCTGCTTAGAACTACTTGGCGTGGACCTGATCATCAACTGGAACTCAAAAAAAAGAAACCGGTAATGAGACTTTCATCCATTCCAACACTCCTTAAACCACTCGCTCTAATCCTTCAAATCGGTTAAATTCTACATGTCAGCTCGCTAAAAGCATGTGCTAAGTTGTAAGAGATGTTGAAACTGTCTCCGCTTGAAGGTTGTATTCGTTATTTATCTAGCGAGACAAATGGGACAATCAACATTGTGATAATCGAGGATACCAGGGTGGGAAATTCACTTTTCGGTATGAAAGTTTCACAGACCGGTTAACAGAAGATCCAGACCCTTCTTTCTCCTCTTAAACCCAGCTTCATTTAAAAAGCCTGGACGCCATTCCTTTAAGGGACAAAAGCAATTCCAGCTATTTAAAAGGGCACAAGTATAATGGAGTTGAAAGACAAATATAACATAACCTGATTTTTTAAATATGGTCGAGGTAACCTAATAAATGAAATGGATTATTATATCGTTTTCCTTATCATTTTTAGAAAACTCACGTAATACTACTTGTTAAATAATGTATAAATTAAATTTAGCTTCCCAATCCCATTCTAATGGAGCTCAGTATTATTCTGATGGTGTACCGCTTTTTCCAAATACAATACAAACAAGTCTAGAGCGATGCCGGCAGCTCTGAGAGGACAACTCCAGCACAGTGGTGCTTTGGGACAAATCCTCAAGCCAACAAGCCGACATGCTCACAATGACTATGGAAATTCAAATTTCCATCCGGATTGGCACATGAGTGTGTGTGTGTGCGCCAAGTCACTGGGCAATTCATCCAGTGGTTGTTACCTAGAGCGCTAAGAAGCCTTGATGCCCCAAAAGTAATTTTTATCTGCCATTTGTGTATTTTCACATTAATGTATTTCTTTAATTGAATGAAAGGAAAAGGGTTTGTTCTGAGCTACGTGTGCTTACGTTGTAATGATCGCATTTTGATCGCTGTAATCTAAAGTGGAGGCTAGAGATGATTCGATGGGAGCCAACATAAACATACGTTCCCACCAGTCACTGATTTAACATGTATGCGATAGCGTCAGGTGCTAATTTCCCACCCTGGGAGAGCATCAAATAAGAGGTCTTGTTTACACTGTGAAGTACCAGCACTCCTCCTATTTCTTGTTTTGTGCTTGATTCAGACTTTCCAACATGGAGAGGCAGGTCTGTTCACTTCTTCGTCTCGGTTTTGACGAATGCACCTCTTCAAATACTGACCCGTCTGGTCCTAGAGGTTTCCTCTCCTTCCCACATCTTATTTTTGACTCAACGTCTGTTTCCGGCCCTCCCTGACCTGCGTTTGGATGTTGTTTTTGCCTTCTTTTTCCGTGGGACAGCTGCTTTCCCCTTCTCCTCCTCTGCATTAGCTTCCTCCTCTACATCAGCTGCTGCCGTTGACTCCGCCTCCTCTGTGCTACCGGCAGACGGCTCAGCTGGACTCTCCAGAGCCGCGGAGGCCGGGGACGTGCGCTCTTTCTCCTTGATATGGAGGCAGAGCTCCTGGTCCGTGTCGCCCGCGTCCCGGGTGTTTTGGTCAGGTTCAGCCGCTTCCTCCTGTGGCTGGCTTTCGGTCTCCGTGTTCACTGCGCTCAGCGCAACGATAGGATCCATGGAGTTCAGGTCCGTCCCTAAACCAGTGTCATCGGAGTGGGAGTTTTCAGCAGAACAGTCAGCGGTGGTTCCTGTTAGGGGCCGGAGGCGCTCTGTAGCTAGGGGAGACTCTCTGGAAGGTTCAACGGCTGCACTCTTTTGACTCCGCAAGTCTCTGTACTTCTGAGAAGAGAATCCATACACAAACAATGGAAATTTGATATTTTGTAATATTCAATCCCTCAAGGAGAACTCTCATTGAAGCCCCTCAATCTTACACACGAGTTAATGCACACCAGCTAATTCTTGGATTGTAGCTGTGATGATAGAATGAATGAAACTAATTACTTAACACAAACAGCGTAACACAAATAGTAATAATATACTCAAAAGTAAAACATGAGTCATTTAATAAACAAGGCAAGAGAAGTCATCAAACACCAACCTTGAGGTTCTCAAAGTGCTTCATTGTTTTGCAGTGGCCGTGTAGGGCAGAAGATTCAAAGTGATAAAACTTGTTGCAGAGTCTGCAGATAAAACCTGCGACTGGTACTAAAAAACCGGACCCTGCGGTAAAGGGAACGCAAGAAAAGTCGTCACTTCAATGTCAGCACTTTACCCAAACCAACGAGGATAAGCAGAGACGACCACACAAAATATTCAGCCCCCTGGAGTTTGTGATCACTCACCGTAGACGGTGTTAGAGTCGTACTCCTCATCGCTGGCCATGTCCTTTGAAGTCACTTCTTTGTGGCAGGACCAGTCATCCTGCACCAAGTCACCAGAGACACAGTGAACAACTGCACCACGACAGAATGCACCAGCCAGGAGTACCAGTAGGGTTAATCTCACATCTTATCCAAAAGTGAGGTTGAACTCAGTAAGATCTCGGGGCGTTGAGCTCACTGGCGTACATCCTCCCAAACGTCTCATTGGAGGGAATTACAAAACGAGTGTATGCAAATCACCTGTTCATTTGGTCGTTCCTCCTCCATCTCACTGAACTCCGACTCCTCCAATGTGAAGCCCTCTGCGTCCGGCGTGCTCAGCTTGCCTAAGGCCCCGCAGTCGTCCTGTTCCCCGAGCTATTCAACAGCAGCACGCTCCGTGTGAATATTTGATTCCCTCTTGACTTAAGGGAGTAATAATTGCTTGTCATGTATTTATAGTCATGTTTTTAAATCACCTTCTCCACCTTCTGCCTGTGCTCCTGGGACTGCAAGTGCTCCGCAAAGATCTGGGAGGTCCTGAAGTGTTTCTTGCAGACCGTGCAGGAGGACATGGCTGTTCTGCTGGCGAGCTGAGCAGAGAAGAAGAGACACCGGATCATTGTGGATTATTCCGATGTTACAAAAAGCATTGAAACACTTTTTCAACTCAACATTTACGTTTGCATGGAATTGCACTAGTCTATAAAGTGAGTGGCTTTACTTTGTGCTCCTCGGTGTGACGGTGGTCTGTGATGCTACAGGTGAAGTGGGTGTGACAGGTGGGACACCAGAGCTTTGAGTCTTCCCTCTTTACGCTGCAGAAAACACACACATCAGTTACAATCATTATTGCATGGATAATTTACTCCTTTTAAAAGCCATTCCTCAAAAAGATAAAAAAGGGTTTAATTATCTCTAACCGTCCAAACTCGATATTGATTAAGAATATAAAACAAAAAAACAAAGCGAAAGCATATTTGTAGGTTTCAAAACGTACCCGTCTTTGTTTGCTTCCTGTAGAGACTCCTGCACTCTTGGCAGCAGGGTGACCAGACAAGCGTTGCTCATGTGTTGGATCTCCATCATCCTCTGCTGGTGGGAAACACTGTTCATATGACTCCTGAAGTTCTGAAGAAAAACAAAAAACAAGACTGAAGAGAAGAGTTGAATAAATTTGCCAGAATTCTTTCTTTTTTATCGGCGATTTATCTCCGCAAAAAGAAATACCCAATTCTACCATTTCCTTACGTATCTTAACGAGTGTGCACATTTAACCTACTTGCTGGTTGTAGCAGGTAATGCTACAGAGATAGCAGTAAAACTTGTTGCCCTCCACTACGCCCTCCTCTTCGCCCTCCTGGTTCTCGGGTGAGGCCTTGCCGTGTGGCATCTCCTCCGGGAGTAGATCAACCTGCTGGTCATCTTCACTCGGCTTGCCAGACGGGGACGGTGCCAACAAGCAGCTGTGCGCCTACAGAGAGGTCGCAAACCAGAACTTAATCCAGTGTCATGAGATAAATAAACCGAAATAGGAAGAATAGAACCTTTATACAGGTTGACAAATGCTGGCAACCAGCTTTGGGCCCAAAATGACATCTCAAATAGTTTCCTCTTACATCAGCAGCTACGCTCTTCTCCAGCGCCACAACCACATCCGATGCCCTCGTGGAGCCTCCTTCTTCCAGAACGAGGGAGTCTGGGTAAAGAAGAGAGGTGACCAAACACACCGTTTATGGAGAGTTTTCATCATAACTGACCTAAACTACAATAAAAAGTATTTCAAACATTCTACTTTGGGTTTCTGTGTCTTACCGTCAGGCTGGCTGTCCTCTGGGTTGTTGGACTCTAAAGACAGAACTTCCCCGTCAGTATCTGCAATGGGGAGAGACTCAACAACACATTGGTCTTTGGGTTCCTCTGACCTGAGAGAAACAGCCAGAGTAAAAGAACAAATAGATGTAAGTTTTCGGTTTGATTCTTTTGCTACTTCCATTGACAAGACGGTGGACACTCATGATTTTCCCAGCACAAATACATTTCCAGTAATAGAAATTGTTTTGCCTACCCATCTGTCCTCAGCCTCTTCACTTCAGGTTCTTCAAGCTGTTCCTCAGAGGGCTGTGTGGGTTCATCCACTCCTCCCACAGCACCATCTGTAGGTTGAAAAGATTTTTATTTAGAAGAAAAATAAGTTGGAAACACACAGCAGGAATAACAAATGTCAACCATCGATCGCCTCCAATTCGAGATACAACAGGCGCTGCATCACCGGCGGCCATAAGCATGCCTCAGTGCTGGTCAGCTTGGAGCGCTACCTGTGTCGGTTTTGTCAGAAGCTTCATTGGTGCCGCCGGCTGCTGGTTGATCGTTTGTGCTCCCTGAAGCCATGTGGTCGCTGTCTCTCTTCCTGTCGGGCTGGCGAGCTGCGGCGTCCTACACAAGGAGAAGGACAGCAGGATTACTGATATACATCAAAGTCTGAGAGGAAGATGAAGACTAAAAAAGGGAATTTAACAAAAGCACCATTTAGACATAATGAGCTTGATATAATTGATTTTTAATGTGCGCCGAAGGCTGTGTTGACAAATAACTAATGATAGCCCCTGTATTTCAATAATGTTGTTAGATTTAATGACAACTGTTACAATGATATGAAAGCATGGTCAACTTGTTGAAGACTGGGTCCTAACCATTTGTACTATCAAAACAATATGGATCTTTTCCATTAAGCCAGAAAATATAAAGGTTTAGACACATTAATATTTTGAATTGAATCCAGCCCCCCGCGGCTCTGTACAAAGGACAAGCGGCTTTGACGATAACTGACTGATTATATTTTCATTTACAATGAACCCTCGGTCAACTGGTTTACTTATTGATAAATCTTTTCTGCTCTATATTATTGTATTTGGTTCATATTGGCCTTCGCTACAATGAAATGATATGCTGACATTTTATAATTGCCAATGGTTTGATGCTTGTTGTTCTCTCATCTACACTAGTTTTTCTTTGAGTGGACCATATTGAAATCACCTTCAATTGCGATGAGGTCATTTCCACTGATTCTGATCTAGTCAATCAAACCTGCTGCATTTGTCCACTGTGCAAATATGGTGTACGTTAATAGCTTGACAGAAAGTAACCCACAAAGTGATTGTAATCAATGTAATGTAGTAGTGGCTGTTGTAATTACAGCAGAAGTGATGGAAGAAGCCGCTGCGGTGTTGTTGTAGTAGCGAGCATGCGGGTGGAACTGCCGACCGGCTGGGTATCCCATCATGGGGGACTTGATGGCCATCCCCATGGGAACCGGCCCGAGCAGAGAGGACCTGGACCCAGCGGTGAAGAACTGACGGAACTGCTGTCCACCCATCCTGAAGCCCCGCATGTTACCTGGATTGAAGCAAAGCGTGGAACAAAATAAGCAAAGAAAACATCATAACCCTCTGTGTGTGTTCACTATAGTCCGAACCATACCCTGCATCTGTTGCATCAGTAGGGCCCCCTGCAGCATGGGATTGGGGGCAATAAGGGTAGTCTGGGTTGCCTGGCACAGGTTGACCATCCTGGGCGGAGGAGCTCCCTGGGAACCAACAGGAATAGATCTGCACAACAAATAAACAAGTGTAAATCATCTGGCCGGGGACAGCAGATGGAAATTAGCCTCTCTGGCTAACTTACAGTAGAACTGTTGGTGTGCACTGCCCCTGCGAAATAAATTCATAAATAAAATAAAATGGAGCATCGTTTACCAATAATTAGCCTCACACAAGCCTGCGAAACACACGCGCTTTGGGTAAAATCATCTTACTAACCGGGATTTTTATTTGACACATCTGTACCATTTTTAGATCAGCTGAAATCCTGACGCAGAAAATACAAAGTGAAAAGCCAAATGACTTGATGACATGTGCGGACACAGGTTTTCTTAAACACAAGCAGTCCGGGTTATTTTTCCTTATTATAGTGATAACTGTGTTACAGCTCTGACATGGATTATCCTTTATCGGAGGTTCTTTTCCTTCCATATTTTTTAAAGAACGTAATAGTGCATTACTCAATGACCTTTAAACGGCAAGTGTTTAGAAATCAATGGTCGTACAATCTCAAGCATGACCCGATATAATCACAGGCTAAATCAATTAAACAACCGTCCGAAAAATAAAATCGTTGTCACATGGCAAAGGTCAAAAATCAAAAAAGGGGTTTCATCAAATGACAGCAAGGGAATATGTCCAAAACAACAGGTACGATATGGAGGGCTAGTCTGATAAAGCTACACGGCCTGTCCCTTTTGGCCCTCAGGAATCAGGAAACATGTATTGCCATAATATGTCGGACATACAAGGAATTTGACTTGGCGGTTGGTGTGTAACAGCAGACAGTACGACAATGGACGACAAGACAACATGGTGCAAGAGGAGAAAATATAATTATATGGGCTAGTATTATAAGGCTATGGGTTAGTTTTAAAATAAAGGAATAAAAGTTAAAAATATGAAGAAAATAAATAAATAAATAAAGTGCACCAGCGAACAGAAAGTGACATGTGCAAGTGACGTTCGTTGTGTGAAAGAAAGTGACCGGTGGACTGTCAGAGTCAGTCAGCGGGGGACCGGGCTCCGACAGCCGACGGGAATAAACTGTTCGTGTGGCGGGAGGTCTTGGTCCTGATGGACCTCATCCTCCTGCCAGACGGAAGGTCCACAAACAGGTTTTGTCCGGGGTGAGAGGGGTCGGCTACGATCTTTTTAGATCGGACAAACGAGAGTCCTGTATTGTCTGACCGCTCTTAATATGGATTAAAGATTGAGTAAACAAAGATGACAGGTTTAGACACAGGGTTTTACTAGAACTAAAAAGGACTGGCCAGTAGTCTTCCTATGAAGTTGCAGTAGCCGGATGTTTTTATAAAGGATACACAAAACATCGCTTGACAACCAAACAGGGGACCTGTGCGATGTTACGTTTGGAGTTGTCTTCCGTCAAAGCAACACACTAAATGTGTTCAAAGTCATCCCAGGTGCTGAGGGTGCTAACAAACAGATCATCCACCGAGACAATAACAACAAATCGTCGCACGCTCATCCGCCGCCGGCCACGAACGTCTCCCCCCATGGAGGCCCATGTCTAATCCCCGGTCTCGAGTTAATGTGCTTACCGCTGTCCCTGGTGGTGGTGATGGCCGACATGGTGCCCCGGAGGCGGCTGGGGAGGAGGAGGCGGAGGCTGCTGCTGGAAAAGTTGTTGTAGCTGCCGCAGGTGCTGGTGAAACTGTTGCTGCTGCTGTTGCTGCTGCTGCTGCTGATGATGGATGTGCGGATTGAACATCACGGGCTTTAAATTCCCTCCGTTACACCGCGGGGAGACGCAGCGGCAAACGTCTTGACGCCCCTTTCAAGTTAAATTAATCTGAATGGAAGGGAACAAAAAGGTGTATCACAATGGGCCCCGATGTCTCTGTTTGCAAAGACACGCTCGATAACAATGCGCATCTGCAAAGACAACAGGTCGCCCTCGTATTTCGTGATGCTAACTGACGTTAGCTAGCGCTAGCAAGTGCGCTAACAACAATTTACTTTTTTGGTATTTTCTCAATTGAGTTTTTTTTTTACCCATAACCAACTCTTTAGAGAGACCGGCATGCTGTTTCAAAACAAACGCCATGAAAATATTGTGACAGAAAAAGAACAATCTACACCTGCTCCAAAAAGAAATGAGCTAACGTTACATTTGTCTCCGCTCACACAACAAGTTAGCTTAGCAACACATCGAACTAGCTAGCTAAGTCGCACATAAACCAGCTGCGCTTCCTCGGGTACTTTCTACACTTTACCGTAGCCACGCAGGTCACGACTTCCTTCGCCGAGTTATGTGGCAATCCGTGAGGATTAGCCGACTGAAAACACAGCGCAAGGTTGAATACGTCCTCTCTGTCCCGAGTGCAACTCGCATAAAACAGAAACCCCCAACCAGCGTTTCCAGTGTAGGAAAGTTATTGCACTCTGTCGCCTCCCTGTGGTTGTCCGGAGAACTGAACAAAATGGATGTCTGCCTAATAAATGTAGCTTTTAATGTATTATCTATATTTTAAACGGCCGGATTTTAGTTCTCAAACCCAAATGGCCTCGGAAATTTAATACAAAATGTAGTATTTTAGGGTTCTGCGTTATAACACATATGTTCGATACATAGTTATATATGAATTTACATCTATATAGATAGATAGATGGATCGATGTGTAGATGTATGGATGGACGAGTGGATGGATAGATCCACGCATATGCTTGTTGTGCATTATAAAAACAAACACACAAGACGCTGTATAGCGCCGTCTAGCCTCAGTTGTTGGCGCTCACAGTTTCAGCACCATGGACAGATCTGCTCCTATTTCCCGGTCTCCATTCACCTCCCTAAATCGACCAAAATTTGTTTTGAATTAAAGACTCTCGCTGACCTCCCACACACACGGTTTACTGTAAACTTCACAATTTGACAGACAACCACAGTGAAAGTAAACCAGTGACACGCCACCGAGCGGTGTGCGCGGAGAACTGCAGAGATCTCTCCTGGGGGGAAATACAAGAGATCATCCTCATCCTCCCCTGCTGCTGCTGCTGCTGCGCTCGGTGCAGAAAGAGTGCGGACTATACGCGTTGGAGAGGGTCCTCCAGCCGAGGTTGTCCGACACGCCGAGGAGGCGCAGTCCACGAGGGGGCTGACAGAAAAGTGAAGAAGAAACAATAAAAAAACGCCCTCTAAGCGGAAGATTGGCGAGTGGGGAAATAAATCCCTCGCTGCTCCGACAAGGAAGATCTACGCAACCCCCCCTTGGTATCGCAAAGATGGGGAACCAGGGAATGGAGGATTTGATTCCTCTGGTGAACCGCATGCAGGATGCCTTCTCCGCCATCGGCCAGAACTCCAACCTGGACCTGCCGCAGATCGCCGTGGTGGGCGGCCAGAGCGCCGGGAAGAGCTCGGTGCTGGAGAACTTCGTCGGGAAGTAAGTGGCCTTTCCGGGCTGCAGCGCATGTTGCTGCATCGGCGCCTTTTTGTGTGTGTGTTTTACACCTCACGCACATCCAAAAGTCCTGCTCCCTTCCTTTTTTTTGTAAGGCAGGTCGGAATCCACCAGTCTTATCGTGTTGTCACGTTGTCTTTTACCACAAAACACCGAGGCGAGGAGATTATTTTACAGCTAGGCCCACATAAATCCTCAGGGAAGTGTCTTCTGGACTGATCAATTCAGGGGAGCGAACCAATGACGTCACATGACCCCCATGTCACATTCTACACTTCATAACGTTTCTAAAATGGCAACAACACGTATCATTGTTTCAATGACGTCAGTCACAGAGGGGTAGTTAGTATGCTGACTTCCGGTGTGGCAGATACAGTTGCAGGCAGCTCGGGGGATGTGCTGTGTGTTGCTGTAGCAGTGCCTCTGTTTTTGTAGCCCTCATGCTGTAAAATTCTGAGGCGGGTGGGGGGGCAACATGAGTGTTTTTATATGTGTGTGTGTGTGTGTGTGTGTTGAAAGAGTTGTTTCTTCAGTCTTCTTAAGAAAACTTGCACAGTTCTCAGTTTGCTGATACAAAGCAAAGCGAGTAAATGTGATCTGTTATGCTGCAGTATGACCTTGCAGAGAGAGAGAGATAGAGAGAGAGAGAGAGAGAGAGAGAGAGAGAGAGAGAGAGAGTCCTCATGAGCTTTGAGCCCTTCCAGCTCAGCTCATCCATCTGTCTGCCGGTGCTTACGCTGTAAGCGAAGCTTACCGAAGGCCCAACATGAGTGTCACTGGCTGACTGTTTATCAGCCCGGTTGCTTGTGTTTCACTAGACGGGGACTTTTAATCCCTTGGATGCACTGAGTGTGCAGTATTTCCTGCCTATAGCAAAGTGCTGTGGCTCCAAGCCAGCTTAACCCCGCACTAAACAGGGCCTGCTATTTCAACACATTTCTTTTCTCACTTCAATCTATTGTCTTACATTTTTTTAACAGTAGATTCAAATAATTCACGTCATGGCCACAAGCTCCCAGCGAATGACTCAAGTGACCTTAAGGAAATATATCGGATGATAGACAACTCCCTCTAGAGCTAAAGCCTACCCTTCAAAACCTGCAACACACTTCCATGTGTCCAATTACTGGCGTTGCCCTGAAATCACAAGTTGAATGAACTCAAATATTAGAAGTACACGTTGTTACTATTTCATGGTACTTTGTTTCAAATGTGTCTTTCGTGTAGATACATTTAAAAACAGTGATTTACCAGCATTTTATGTGAACCTTTGTCCCCCGTTTTACAGCCTCTTCTTATGCCTTCTTTAAAACAGCAGCAAAAACAACAGTTTCACGCCGTTGAAGCAACCTCTTCAGTAGGGCCACGTTTTTTGCTGCTCGACCAGCTGTAGTCATGGAAACAGCTTGTGCCTAATTACGTTGCCTAACCCGGGGGGGAGCAGTGGGATGCACCATCGTAGTACCACCAGGTGGTTTAACAGTAACGAAGGCGTGGAATGATTTGTTCGTGCGTGTCGGTAGAATCTGCATCCTGTCGCGCGCCGTTAGTGTGTGTGTGTGGGTGTGTGCGTCGATGCAAGTGCCTCCCTGGTCCAGCTGCAGTGACGTCAATCAGGGCCTCCCGTCCTCCTGCTCCTCCAGTGGCCCATTTGCGTTGTTGTGATCTAATCTTGCCCAATTCGACAGACACACACACACACTTAAAACGCGTTGTGTTTACATGTCACCAGAAAGCCATTTAAATGGATTTCTTTGGACAGTAATCTCTTTTTTAATGATGAGTTTAAGCTTTGTTCTCCCTCAGTCTGCTCCTACCAGTAGCACAGCCGATCGATAGCAAGGAGAGATATTTACATCACTTATTTTATAATCCATTTACTCTGAAATCAATTTAGCCAACTTCAGGAATAATATAAACATTTTTGAAAGGAGTTCACTTTGACTCCGGATGGGATGTGACACCTTTTGAAGCATAGTCGACCTCTGCGACTCAGAGACAAGAACAGCCCATCGAGCAGTGGACAAGCTGTATTGACACATTATAGAACAAGAGTACATCTGGACACTAACAAAACTGATATATTCCCCTTTATTGTCCGTCCTTCAGAGGCTTTTTGATCCTGCTTTCATTTCACTGCTCACTTCTCTGTTTATAGATTCACATTCTCAGCCTTTGTAGTGTCTCACTCAGGTCAAACTCTCCTCAAAGGGGCTTTGTTGCTGTAAATGATAAAAGTGCTCAACTCCAACGGGGAGGCACCAAGGTTAGTCTAGAATGAGAGAGACAAAGACGCACAGTTATCAAGAAAGCCGTCTTCAAGCCTCCTGAAACAACGGTCTCAGTCATTGTTTTCATTGACTGTTGTTTTCATTCATGCATTTTTTCTCTACAAGACAATTGGTATTTAGCTGCCTTTGTGAACTGCTCTTATTTAATATCTTATTGAATGAATAACATAAATATCTCAATACAGACATTAATTTAAATAGCTTGAAGACTCGCATCGTCGCCTCCTGGTCCCAGCAGCCCGCCTGTGATTTAACAGAGAAGAAGACGTCTCACGAATGTGATGCTGAGCACAACCTCACATTCTCCTCCAGCATCCGTCCCCAGTCTGTTCTTCAGCCTCCCACGAGTCCAATTAGCACAAGCAAAGCTTTAATGGGCTCCGTAGCCCCAAACTGCCAGCTGGTTAAAACCAGTTCTTGCAGGGGGACATGGGGATTTTTGACCAGAAGCAACACAGTTTCTATCTTGAACTGCAGTTCCGGAGGAAACATATTTTGCTGAAGCCCTTTCTCTAAAGTGTATTGTGTTTTATTCATACTATATTTTTGTATCAAGCTTTATTGATCAAAATGTTCCAACATCATAATTCTGAAAAAGGGTCAATTATTTCAGTTGTTTTTGTTTTTACATAGTTGTAATGAAAATGTGGATGATTGAAGAAAAATACATCAAATCGAGGCCGTCAAAGAAAACAGAGGTTATTGTAAGTTGTCTATTCCTGCTGTACATCGTGCATGTTCAGCACCACGGACAGCTCTGCCCGAACCAGCTGATAGTGAGTAAGCACCACATTGGCTTCCCCTAAATCACATACTCAACATACAGTACATATATGATCACTTTCCAGTTATTCTCCTTGTATGATGTCCACAATTCAAGGGTACCTGGTTTTATTTTTTTTGCGGTGGATAATAGAAAACATCATAAAGGCTTTTTGTTGATGCACTTCTGATTGATTGTCTGATCCTTGTTTTTAGCACAAATGCATTTATTGTTCAAGTCCCATGAAACGGATCTGAAGGAGCACTCTTCTTTTTTTTTTTTTCTCATCACCGATGAGTTCAATTGCTGATAAGCGGCTTGCAAAAGGAGAAACGAGTGAAAAGGTCACAAACGCTCCCACGTTCTCCTCGGATGTACTCAAACCCGGGAGGCTGTCGCTGTGCACATTAGCCGACCCGAAGCCCCTTTTATCATCAGTGGAGGCTGCTGGCACGCGGGCACAAACCGGGAACACAAAACCACAACACAGACGATTCCAACTACCCGCTGCCATCACTCCTCCAACCCCCCATGCAGAGATTAAGTTAATGATATTGCTGGTTCAATGTGTTATGTAAGAGAGGCCAGCGGCGGCTTCACTCATGTGAAAGCCGACCGCGGTGCAGCGCTCCTTCAAAGCCGTCATTCTTGTCAGATGAAAGCGGAGGAGAGTAGAAAAGATACCCGGGGAAGGAGAGGCCGGCAAGGACTCCTAGAGGACGATGTGGCGCCGAAGATAAACTACGCAGCATGAAATGTTGAAATAAACTCTGTAGGAATCTGTAGTGTCAAGGTTGTGTGAAAGAGGAAATGATGGAGAGGATACTTTCCAGTAATGGATGGATGGACATATCTTCATTTTGCTTCTTTTGAAAGCTCTTACAAGAAAATACTCAGCAATGAACAATCATTTAACTGATACGTTATTTCTGCTCTGATTTGTACAAACTGCTTTTCGTAAAGGAAACCCGTTTCAGACTGAAGGAGACGTTAAAACAGTGCGTGGACACAGTGGAACAGCAGCGAGTGAGACACAGAAGAAGAGAGGAGATATGGCTGCAGAGGATTACCACTAATCTCTCTCTTTGGGCCACAGTTTACCTGCAGCACGTCCGCCCATTGGCTCCGGTCTAATCTGGACGTACAACATCCAGCAACCTGCTCCACCGTTAGCGCACAGCGACGCGCGGTTGTTAGAAGTCCTCACTGAAATAGGAGCCTTGTCTGTCCAAGACGCGAGCAGTGCTGGGAAGGGAAACTGCCCGCTGGCGCTGGCTGACTAATGTCAGCCGTTGTTATTGCAGGATTAGATGTGTCAGGGAATCGGCAGTGATGTGAGGCACGCGAAGAGGCCGACCGAGCAGCGCGCTGAGGTTGAGCTGTTACACTCGTTGCTATAAACGGGTTGTATTTCACTCTTTCATCAGCCGTTCTCTCCTCGGAGCGTCACCAAAAAACTAAACGTGAGAGGAGAAAAATGGAAAAATGGAAATGTGGAACACAAGAAGCGCCTACAGCTTGTTTTTATATCTGAAGCCCTTTCATGCCGTTTTTAATTCTCTCCTCTTGAGTGAATCGGTCATCTCTGTGTGGGCGAGCGTCCTCTGTGTGTTGGCTTTGTACACCACAAAATGTGTGCAGTTCATAACAAAGAAGCAGGGAGTCACTATTCCACAGCAGCTGGCGTCCACCAGATGTTTGTGTGTGTGGCAAACATCAAAGAATGAATTAATGAATTCAATTATACGTTTTTGTTTCATTGGAATTGGAAACACAAAATGCTATAAAATGAATTAAACACATTAGGGTTCAGCTGTGACTCAGTGAAGCTGAATTGTGAATCATGGAAAATGAATTAGGAAACTGTTAAAGGGTCAAATAACCACGGGGGAGAGGACATTTTTTGTTTATTGTTAATTAAATCTAATCAATTTTCCACATTTGAGCAAAAATTAAATCAAAATACTAAATTTCTCTTAATTTGTTTTATTATTGTTATATGATTATTGATTTAGAAAATAACCAGCAATGACCCGAGAAATCCAGAGATATAAAAGGAGAGTTGTGACTATTTTAACTTTTGTAAAATGGTGTGTATTACCATATCAACCAACCCTAATAAACCCAGACAGAAAGAGCCGACTATAGATCGATCACACTGAAGATCCTAATGGACGTTCCTGTACAATGATGTTAAAGTTGTTTCTGTTAGACGTGAAGTGCTTTTAGACACCCGCTGGCTACTGAGTGCACTTACGCTGTGTCTAAGTGCTTGTTAAAGGTATATTTTAATTTATCTTTCGCTGTCTATCAATATTCCAGTTAGGGTTAGAGAGAAAGAGCAGGGTTTGCTTTGTTGTGAAAAGATGCACTATTACAACAAACAGTGAGACAACAAGGGAGCTCCCGGTTGGTGCTGTGGCCCGTGTGTAGCACGTGTAGGTGGGGTTTAGCAAACAGTAGCGACAATCTCACAGTTACAACTTGCTTCTCATGTTTCGCCTGTAAGACGTGTGTACATTAGTATGCTTTCGAGGTGCTGCTACACAGACGTAGTTTCATTTGGACAGAGACAGCGTGGCTGTTTCCATTTTATTCATTTGGTAATGCTTAACGGAGCAAAGCAGCTCCAGCTTCATGTTCAGCACAAAGACATCAGCGTGATATTGATATTTTCTCACTCCTAGCAGAAAGCAGATATTTCCCAAAACGTTTCCCTATTCTTCTGAGCACAATATACTGTAAAGTACACACTCAGAAAGAATACACAAATACTATATATATATATATATATATATATGATATAACAGGGACAGTTAAATGTGATCCTCATGTTGAACATCTAATTGCTGAATTAGCTTTTTCTAGTTTAGGGAATTCAGCTGACTCATGTTTCATTGGCTCCCATGATGAGGTGTGTGCATCTGAAAATTACAGTACGTGTCCAGCAGCTTACTGGTCTTGCTGCGCACACACAACGACACACAGACACACACAACGAGCCTCACTGGATACGAAATGTCCCGTTAGCTGGTTGAGGAGCACAGAGTACCAGAGGCGAGGTGACTACCATGTTGCATAAGCAGCTGAACACCCTCAAGGAAAACAGTGCACAGTTCATAAATAAAACCAAAAATGGAAACGCACACACTTTTGTGTATTCATAAACACGCACTTTACAGTGTCGCGCGGCGTTGTGTTAGGACTCGTTGTTATTCAGCACTGCGCTGCTCACACAAACACCCACGTATTAACACTCATTGTCGGCCGTACTTTGTGAAGCCTCATGATTCATCATCACTGACTCATGTTTTACTTTTCACATTTTGGTGATTCGCACCGTTTCCCCTCGACACTGTTGCGGTTGCGGTTGTCTTGCTTGCTGACCTCTCGGTTGTCTCACAGGGATTTCCTTCCCCGGGGTTCGGGCATTGTGACTCGCCGTCCTTTGGTTCTGCAGCTGATGAACTGCCCCACAGGTAAAAAGAAAAACATCCCACCCAGATTTTGATATTTAACATCTACAGCAAAACCTGTTTCCCTTTCAGTAAGTAGCCTTTGATTTGTCAGGGAAAAGACCACAGTAAAGACACAACATTTAGCTGCTTCATGGAGTTAGTCTGAACAGAAATCTGTGGGATACATTCTGAACAGCAACTGCTAATTCAGCGTGCTTTGGGTGCCACACAAGTAGATGCTATTTAAACTTATCCCCTATATCAAGGTATATGATGCCATAGTTACAACATCCATCGAAATGTGTAATGAAGTGGGAATATTGCCATTATCTTTGTTAAAAATGGATCTCTTTGCCCTTTTTTCATTCTTTAGAATAAAAGTATATTTTTTACCATCTCCCCCAGAATACGCTGAGTTCCTTCACTGTAAGGGCAAAAAGTTTGTGGATTTTGATGAGGTCCGACAGGAGATCGAGGCAGAGACCGACCGCATCACCGGGGCCAACAAGGGCATCTCGGCTGTGCCCATCAACCTGCGCGTCTACTCCCCCAACGGTGAGGCCATTTCCACTCAGATACCCGCCGAGCTTTTTTACCTGGCGAGAATGCATCCGAGGAAGCTCCCTTCAGTTCGCTCTGCTCATTCCTGCTCCTCGTTCTTCCCCCAGTGCTGAACCTGACCCTGGTGGACCTGCCGGGGATGACCAAAGTGCCCGTGGGTGACCAGCCCGCGGACATCGAGGCCCAGATCAGAGAAATGCTGATGCAGTTCGTCACCAAAGAGAACTGCCTGATGCTGGCCGTCTCCCCGGCCAACTCTGATCTGGCCAACTCCGACGCTCTGAAGATCGCCAAAGAGGTCGACCCTCAGGGTGAGTGTGCACACACGGACAGTACGTGTACACACACGGACACTATCACAAACGATCACTTTGTCTATGTCTGTTTTGTGCTCCTTTTGATGTGAAACATTATGCCACTTTGAACACAAATCAATGCTAAAAGCTAAAAATAGCTTCACCTGCAGACACGTTAAAATATTGCTAACACAGAATCATGGTGTGTTTGTGTGTGTGTGTGTGTGTGTGTGCATGTAGGCATGAGGACCATCGGCGTGATCACCAAGTTGGACCTGATGGACGAGGGGACAGATGCAAAGGACATCCTGGAGAACAAGCTGCTCCCGCTCAGGAGGGGTGAGCACAAACACACACACACACACACACACACACGCACACACACACACACACACACACACACACACACACACACACACACACACACACACACACACACACACTCTGAGACACTGCGACACCACGCGTCGACACGCTGTTTCCCCCTTGTGGTGGTGAGGCGATCGTACCGAAAATGGACGACACTCCAAACACAGGAAAAAACAGAAAGAAAAAGATTGCGTTGAGTTGTGTGATGAGAGCGGACCGGCTGGGAAATAAACAGACGGACAGAAAGAGGGAAAAGTTGAAGAGCAGAACCAGCAAAAAGAGAAAAAGTGAAAAGCACTGTTTTGGAAAAGGGCGTGTGTGTCTTCTCTTTATTGCAATGTGCTGATGAGGTACTTTTCTTTTCCATTTGCACTTGGTTAGAACTCCGGCATGTGCGTTTGAATATTTTCCATGTCCCCTCTGTTTTTTTCTACGTCCACCTCCTTCTTCTGACTTCTCGTCTTTCTCTGCGTAATCTGGATGTCCACATTTACAAGGCAGCTGGCTCAAAGCTTCATTAGGTACAGAGCATGAAACAGCCTCGAACCAAAGTGATGCATGAGAAAACTTAACGGGAGGTAAAATAGGATACTACTATATATATACTATAGTTCTCTATAAAAACACACACACATTCAGACATTTACTCATCCCCCTTCCCCCTGTTCGCCTCTCTATTTATCCTTTGTCTATATATATTTTGTGGAATCGCACGTCTCTTAAGAAAGGGCTTTTCCTAAAGACCTTATGAGACTTACTTTTCTGCCATTGTCACCACAGACTGAATTGTAAATGCCTGAGGACACCCCCCCCCCGTCTGTCCAGGTTACATCGGTGTGGTGAACAGGAGCCAGAAGGACATAGATGGCAGGAAGGACATCAACGCCGCTATGACTGCTGAGAGGAAGTTCTTCCTCTCCCACCCGTCATACAGACACCTGGCTGACCGTATGGGGACTCCCTACCTGCAGAAAATCCTCAATCAGGTGTGTAAAAGAGCAGGAGAGGATGAGAGGTTCGGTCACAGGCGACCATAGGACGGCCATTAACGAGGGCAGTATTTCATACAAACAATCCCCATATTCCCAGTGATCTAACTCTGACCTTTGAACCTGCCCAGCAACTGACCAACCACATCCGGGACACGCTGCCTAATCTGCGGGCCAAACTGCAAAGTCAGCTTCTCTCCATAGAGAAAGAGGTGGAGGAATACAAGAACTTCAGACCCGACGATCCGTCCCGCAAGACCAAGGCTCTGCTCCAGTGAGTAGATCCAGGATTCAGGAGCGTCAGATGGAAAGCAGAATAATGGATGAAGTGACATCTCTGACCTGCCCGCAGGATGGTGCAGCAGTTCTCTGTGGACTTTGAGAAATGCATAGAGGGCTCCGGGGACCAGATTGACACAGCCGAGCTGTCAGGGGGGGCCAGGATCAATCGCATCTTCCACGAACGCTTCCCCTTCGAACTGGTCAAGGTGTGTTCAAATTAAGTCTATATTTTATCCAGATCCTACACTTAAGAAAAAAAAAAACCCTAGTATTTCAAAATATAGTATAAATTGTACCACCACGAGGTAATGGAAGGGATTCCCAGGATGTATTTGCAATAGAGAAGAAACATGAGACTTTGGCCTAACCACCAAACCCGAAACACGCCAGTTCTATAGCTGTAAATATTTGTGCATAAGACATTTTGAAGCCCACAAATCCGTTAAAACGTTTGACAGGCTTGTGGAAACTTGTCATTCTCATTTAGCTAGTTTAGTTTGTAGAAAAAAAACAACTGCTGACTCATTTGGACATAAAGCAAAGTTTAAATAAAGACAAAGCAAATCATTGGAAAGAAAGGGAATTTGCTGGGATCGCGTTAAAACGAGAAGGCATGAAAGCTGTACTTGCTTTATGACAAACATCTCTCAGTGTCTCTGTTCATCCCACCCCGACATTCTCTCTGTTCACCTTTCACATCGTTTTAGCCCTTTTTTTCTACCTAAAACCCTGTTTTACATGCTCAAGCCTTTGTTTCTCATTCTCTCTCATTCGGCCCTCATAGCCGTCTCTTCATTCCTCTCCCTCCTTTAATCCACGTCTCTCCTTCGTCCCCTCTCATCCTCCCTCTGAGGATATAAATCTTATTCTGCCCGTGACCGAGGCCTCGGTTTCCCACCGAGAGAACAGAGCAGTTTGCTTCCAAACCAGAAGCCTGACTCATAAAATAAAAATGTTTTATATGTTTAGATTGCTTTTAAGGAAATGTGAAACTTTTTCAAGGTAAGTGGGAATAAAAGTGGGGCCTTGAAATAAATTTAAAAAACGATTTTGTGGGAATGCTTATTTATCGTACTTCCGATGATACAGTATATGCAACAGAATGTATCTCTGGTGGGGAGGAAGAGGGTTAAAAGGTCAGCAAAACCAAAGCAGCAGAGACATTTAAGAAATAATGAAGGGTGTGCGAGTAATTCAGCCGTTGTTAATGTTTTTGTGTGTGTAAAGTTGAATTTTGAGTATTTTACTGCACTTAATCGTACCCGTGGTCTCCGTTTGCCTTCGCAGATGGAGTTCGATGAGAAAGAGCTCCGCAAGGAGATCAGCTACGCCATCAAGAACATTCACGGAATCAGGCACGTCCGCCCTTCAACTCACCCCTCCTCCCCCAAACCTCCCCCCCTCTTCCCCTCTCTCTCTCTCCATCCCTGTCACCTCTGCTGGCCGGACTGCATCTAACTGACTTTGCTTATCTAATCACAAAGACCTCTGTCGAATACTAATGGCATCAGGGCGCATAGTTTGGTCCGTCTGAAACAGATTATAACGGGATGTAGTGAGAAGCGGCAGACATGACGAGCCCGTGTGGAATGTACGAAATAGATTATAAAGTATTATGGTCAGGATGCTATAGGTGGTAATAAATGGTAATAAATGGTAATGTTTGGAGGTTTGTTGATAATTGGCTTTTATAAGTGGTCGTATCCATATTCATAGCCATGCATTTCGTAAATGCTCTTGTTGGACAACACTCAGGCTTGTCAGTGACCCACTAACTATTTACCCTTGAGGGAAAATTTAGTTTTAGTTCTATATCTCCATTCTATTTCTCTCTCTCTTTCTGTCTAATTTGTGTCCATGTTTTGGGGGGGAAAAGCTCAGAAAAAGAGGATAATTATTCCCAATTAACACTCTTTTCTTTACCCAAACCTCCTTCTCTCTCTCTCTCTCTCTCTCTCCACTACGCTCCTCTTTGTTTGCCCCTGTGGCCGGTTCTCTTTCCGTCGGGCAGAACTGGCCTCTTCACCCCGGACATGGCCTTTGAGACCATTGTGAAAAGGCAGATTGGGAAGATTAAAGAGCCTTGCGCCAAATGTGTGGACATGGTCATTTCTGAGCTAGTCATAACGGTTAGGCAGTGTACCAAGAAGGTAAAAAATGATAGCAACCAGTGGATAACCTGTGTGAAGTCCCTCCGCTGTTCACTCCCTTTTTACTGTGACCACCTCGCTCTCTCCAGCCCTCGTTGTTGTTGTTGTTGTTGTTGTTGTTTTTTGGACAGCGAGGGGACACCTGGGGGGTATTCCAGAAAGCGGGTTATGTGAAAACTCAAGAGTACGTTAACCCTGAGATCAGGGAAACTCTGAGTTATTCATTCCAGATAGAGAGGAAACTGAAACTCTGAGTCAATCACCGTGGTAACAGACTCTGTGAACATAACCTGCTCGCTGGCAGGTTTACTATGAGAAACCCGCAGTTTTCTCAGAGAGTCTTCCGACCCAGATTAGACGTTTTATCATTTCCAGAGGAATTTCTGTTAGAACGCTACCGCTTTACTGGTAACTAGGAAACATATGGACGACATGTAATTCCTACAGTTCCACATTTAACATGGTATTGGCCGAAAATCTCACGGTTTGAAGCTGCGCTGTGGGTTGGTGATGCCCCACCATGTTCTGTTCAAGGACAAGAATGTGCTAGTTAGCCATTATCTATGCTCATCACTTCAGTCTACATGTGAATATCCAAATTCCACTTTAGAATGTGAAAGGGCAGAGCACTGCCAGTAGATAATATTAAGACACATTGCCGTTAACTACTAATCTGAGGCAAGATCTGAGTATCTGCAGGGTATAACTGTGCAGATGACACCATCTACAACTGTTGGGTGGGTGGATATATATAACTTAAAAAGTAGGCTATATATACACACATACACACACTACCGTTCAAAAGGTTGGGGTCACTTAGAAATGTCCTTATTTTTCAAAGAAAAGCACTTTTTTTCAATGAAGACATTAAATGAATCAGAAATACACTCTATACATTGTTAATGTGGTAATTGACTATTCTAGATGGAAACATCTGGTTTTGAATGAAATATCTACATATATATCTGGTGTATAGAGGCCAATTTCCAGCAACTATCACTCCAGTCTTCCAAAAATGTGTCTGTAAGTGTCTCCTAAGTGGGATATTAAGTGAAAAGACGTGTAAGAACAACATTTTATTAGGGGTTTAATTTACTATTTCAAGTAGCCACTGAATTAATATTTACTTTGTTTAATAGCTGAAGTCAATTAAAGAAAATTAATTAAAATTAAAGTGAGGTGCAATCATAGCAATAGATGCCATACCTGTTGGATTGCACCTAAAATTAAAATCAGATTACATTCCTACTTATATTCATAACTACAGACTGCGACGGTTAAATGTTATGTCAATGGAACAGTACATTCAAACTTACGCGTTGACTCGGGCAGCAATTTTTCCCCACGCAGTCTCTCTCTCCTTCGCTGCTGCAGCTGTATTGCATTTGCAGCGAAATATATCCTCATGCTCACCGTAGGCCTGCTGAAGGACCTCCAACTCCATCGCAGTGAAATAGCTCGCTCTTTTATTTACTGTTGTCATGGTGACTCGTGCTATCGGGGCTCCATTGATGATGGCTTTTTATAATCGTCATGCACGCGCTTAACTCAAGGTGAACATACTCCGAGTCGATCAGCTGTTCTGGAACCGGATACTCAGAGTTTCCCGTCTCAGAGTAAGTCAACTCGGAGTTCAGGGATAGACTCAGAGTTTGTTGAACCTCCTTTCTGGAATACCCCCCTGGAGGGGGCAGGGTGGTACACCTGCCCGCCTGCCTACTGTTATCGCCTCGGACTTGTTTGGCTGGACAGAATGGCCGTGATGGACGTCTGTGTTTATGGAAACCAGTGTGGAGGCTGAGTGGTCATCAGAATGCTGCTGCATGTAAAAGATTCAACGACACAGAGCGAGACGTCTCTACTCGGAACTGATCTCACGCTGCGTCCCAATTCCACACTATGTACTCAATCGTGGGCTGTGCTGTCAGTATGCAAGAGGTCGGTGTGCTTTAATGTTTCTCACCAACAGGAAATAATAACACATGTCTAAAATATCAAACCCGTACAGCACTTTTGAGTGCGAAGGTATTTATTGTGGAATTGAGGACACCGTCTGTCTGTCCAGAGACCGTCTCTGTTCAAGCTTTGTGGTAAAGAAACAACGATCACCTCTTTGGAGGGATTAGAAATCGATTTGATTAATTCACTAGTCCTCAAGTCACATAGTCTTAGTTTGACTGACAGCGATATTCGATGACCTCAGCGCCCAGACTCCGCCCAGTGCGCGAGGCCGCGGCTCTGCACCTTCAGCCACGGCTGTCATGTTTGAACTCATCTTCAACGGGCCTCTGGGGCCGCACTCTCAGCCACGGACGCTCGTGAGTGCGGCCAAAAGGGGAAAAAGCGCCAGTCTTTAGCCAAATCGACCCACTCTGACCAAAACAATTTCCCACGGCGGCTTCACTGCAAGCATCCTCGCGCTTGAACCTCCCGCTCAAAGCCGGATGAAACAAAGCGATGGGTGGAGGGATCGGGGCGCGCCGGCTGAATGCACAGCTGCGGCCTGCTTGGCGGCGCATCGCTTTGAGCTTTGGGCTGGTGGCGCCGTGCAGGGTGGGAGATCTCTCTGTTTCCTCGTCTCTCTTTACTTGTGCAATGTTAAATGTTTGCTCCTTATTGGTGGAGGGAGGGAGAGACTCCCGCGCTGTTCTGTGGCAGAATGCATCCAGGGGTAACCAAATGTCTCAATTGCATTTCCTTCCTTCTGTGCCCCCCCGCTTCCCCCCGTTCCCCACACCTCCATACCTCTTACATATTTTGTTATACTCCATTATCCGTCTATTGTCCCCTTTTTTCACCTCACCATCTCATTTGACTCCCTTGTGATTCATCGGCTCTCTACCCATCCCTCTCTGCATCTCTCCAACTCTTCATTTGGTGCTTTTGCATCTACCCTCCTTATCTCCTTTTTATTTGGACTCCTCTCGCGCGCTCCGATGGCTGAGCATTCAAATATGTATGAGAAAGAAAAAAACGGGCCTGAACTGCTGTGTTCTCTGTACTATTTTTAAAAAAGTGCTGAGGTTTACTCTTTACAAACAGCAGCACTTTTAACATGAAGTCAAAGACTGCAGCAAAAACAATATTAACCAAACATGTTGACTTCTAGTCTTGTTGTTTTAGAGAATGTTTTACAAAAATGCACAAAATTCCCTCAAATGTTCCAAAGAATATACAGCTAAGCAAGCATTTCTGTGTGGTCTGGCCTGTACTAAGCAAAACGCTTCCATCTACAGGTCCACATGTTATGCAATGCTTTTAACCAGGCGTATTGACATCATCAACTTAGTTGAGAGTATTAGCATGATAACGTTTTCTGATCAGTGCTTAAGTTAAGCTGAGGCTGATGCGAATGCCTTTAGTATTGCAGGTATTTCATTGGTCATAAACTTGAGCTTGCTGGTATCGGTCTATCCTCACTCCAGGTCTTACTACTGTTTAGACTATTTAGTCTGCATTGTTATCCAAATGTATCTGTCATTTGTCTTCTGTCAGTTATTGGACTTATATGGACTCCCTCTCAACCTGCATGATAGATCATTTTCTTTAATATTTGTCCTCATGTATGATATTCCTTTTTGGTTTTAAGTTAATCAAAATCCTATTTGTTTCTGCCTCAATCCGTGTGATTTAATATAGTGGATTGCCTGATTGTGTAGTTAGACCCACTGACCGACTGACGTATTTTGAGCCGACTTCTCTTTTTATTTCCCCTTCGTCCTCTCCATCCCGTGGTCTTCTAACCCTTTTAACCGGCCGCCTCCCTGCAAAGCAAATGACCAAAAGACGGCGTGACCTCCTTTGGATTTCTCTTCTCGATCACAGTTTTATCTTGATTTCACTTTCAGAGACAAACTGTATTTAAAGAGACTGTATTATAATATACAGTGTTTGGGAAAATCCACAAAGGGGTCAGTTGGAAGTCTTCCTCCATCATCCTCTCTCTCATCCTTCCCTCCCTGCTCCTTTGCATTGCATGTTAGTTTGAATCACCGTGAGTGCTTCTGTGCTGCCTTGGTTTCCTTCTCCGTTTTGTGCTTCTGTGTCAGTTTTTTCAGACACTGAACACATCACTAGCTTTTGACAGCTTTGGACAGTCTTCCTGTTACAATGCAACTTTCCTTCCACCCATTCACCGTTTATTTTTCTTACTTTCATGTTGTTGTTTCACAATTTTCTAGCATCGTAGTGAATTAATGAGATGGCTATCCTCATCAAATAATGATCAAAATATGTTTTAAACCAAAAATTTAATTGTGTTTTGACTAAACTGTCGACACATGAAACTAACCAGGTGCTGTAAAGGGAATTATTTACAAAAAAAGATGTGTGGCTGTTTCACATCGTTCTTGAGTTTTCATGATGTGCAAAAACAAATATTTATGAGAACGTAATGTATATAGAACTTTAAGTAGGTTGTGATGACGTTTTCTTTTGCCTCATTAAGCCACTTGTTACTCACCTTTTTATAGCTATAATAGCTTCAAAATCTATGTTTTCTGTTTTGACTGATGTATTTTCGTCAAACAAAACATCCAAATCTGCCAAACTTGTGTTAACCACAGACCTCATTTAAGGCGTTTAACCAAAACTCATTCAAAAAACTGGCTGACTATAAATGAGGGAACCAGAAGTTCAAAAATGCAAACACATTGGGGGGTTTTAGGACTCACTCACGCAGCACACTATTCATTATGGGTGTTGTCTACTTTGTAATTGAACCAAATCCAGGAAGCAGTAAATCAACTCGCACCAGTCGACTGATAAAACCACCTGACAGACATGAAAGATGCATTGTAACTTGCAAGAAAAACAGCGTACATCTTTCTTTCCTGCGCTATGATTTTTGGGTGTAGGATTTTTCTTCTTGTCTGCATTCGTGGGTTTGCGATGAGCTCATGGAAAAAAGCACCCACAGTGTGCCGGGAAAAAGAAGCTTTACTGCCAGAAACATTGTTTATTCTGTTTGTGTGGTAATATCACAGACTTTGCACTATTCCTCTGCATTTGTTCCCTGTTGACAATAATTCGACATTTTGCACATAAAATCCATTCTGAGTTGAAATCCACTGGTGAGAGTGTGCAGAGACTAGAGCTAAGTCTGTGATAAACTACGCATAACATGACATGTTTACTCACGTTTATTTAACATAATTTGTTGTCTTATTGAGATTCCAAATCCAGCGTTGCTTCGTCCGAATGTAGATTTGTGATTGTTGGCGCGTCTGTTTTTGGTGCCTACCCACTGTGCTCTGTGCTCACAGCTGGCTCAGTATCCCAGTTTGAGAGAGGAGATGGAGAGAATTGTCACCCAGCACATCAGAGACAGAGAAAACCGCACTAAGAACCAGGTAACATGAACACATGAAACATGAAAAAGAAAAATACGTTATATATCATTTACTATATTATACAGCGTATACTGTACTATATTTGTAAAAGTTTTGGAATTTCATTTTCTCCGTTCCACATCTCTCTTTCTCTGTGCTCAGGTGATGCTGTTGATAGACATTGAGTTGTCTTACATGAACACCAACCACGAGGACTTCATTGGATTTGCCAAGTAAGATTTCATGTGTTTTCTCGTCTTCATTACAAGAGGATAAAAAAGTCACCGTTGCGTTCGCCGCACACTTTGTGAGCACTCGCAGTGCAGAAATCCAATTTCTCCCGATGTGCTTTATCGTGCAGCGCTCAGCAGAGGATCAACCAAATGAACAAGAAGAAAGCCGCTGGCAACCAGGTACTTTGATAACACTCGTGTCCAGCAAAGACATCCCTACCTGCACTTTACAGGTCAAAAACAACACGACTCCAGACTGAACTCCTCCAGTGGGATTCTGGGTTGTGCAGCAGCATGAACTTCAAACAGTTTTTCGTTAGCACCATAGACTGAATATAAGAAGGTTACCCACTCAGCTGTGTGTGTTGCCTATGCTAAATTTAGCACAGCCGCACAGTGTCTTGTTACCCTGGGCAAAAGTCCACGTCGTACACAATGCAGCTCTGTACAGCTCATGTGCACGTCACACGCCAATGGAAAGCAGTTGTTCTTATCTGGATTGCAAACTGATTCTTTTTTTTTTTTTTTGGTATGTATGTTAAGTATGTTGTTTTGTATTTAAATACAATGCAGATGTGCATCATAGGAAAGCAGAAGTGGTTGCAATTTTAGGAAAAAATATGACCTCAAAATATCCCATAACGCCTTTTGTCATGGCTTTACTTTCCACGAAACCTTTTTTTTTGGTCTGTGCTTAAATTATTAACAAACGCACTACGTAGACTGACAAACACCCAGTGGCTGCTTCAAATACGTCACAATATCAGATCAGTGTATACAGTATGTCTCAAATGTGTTGCATGATTGGCATTCTACTGCCCTCTGAATCTTTTCCCACATTTTATTATTTATTATTAGTATTATTTTTTACTTATTCTCTTCAGCTGTAATTGTTTTGCTGTCTCCTGTTTCCTCCGAGTGATTTCTCGTTTCGCTGTCTCTCGTCCTCTTTTTCTCCCTCTCTGTGGTTTTCTCTGCTTCAGGATGAGATCATGGTGAGTTGTGTGTGTCTGTGTGAGTGTTTGTGCGTGCGCATGCCTCAGGTAGGCTTTCATGCGTATGCGCTCTTCATTCACGCTCTGCATATGTCAGAACACACATACGTGTGTACACTTGTGCGTCTGGTAGTGGATTGATCGATTGAGCGCGTGTCTGTGAAAGCAGCTTCATGATACCAGTACTCCCAGTAGGAGGGCAGCTGGCTGTGATGGGTGGGATGCTTGGCTGCTGCCCTTTCCTCTCTTTTTCAGCCGTCCAAACTGCGGGGAAAAAACACACACACACACACACACACACACACACACACACACACACACGCACACACTCAGGCACAGACTTTTCACTACACAATGTCAAGTGTGCCGTAGAATACCGAATCCCGTCCTGCGCTGCGTCGTGCTGTCTGGTATTGAAAGGCTCACTTAAGGCTTCAGCGCTGAGGACAGTTTGCTTTGGCGGCGACGAGTTGCCCCCCCCCCCCGGCCGTAGTTTCAACGAGATGAAGAGAAAGTCACTCGTGTGATCTAGAATTGCTTCGCAAGAGGTCTTCTTTTTTTCACTGGACCTCCACTCTCTGTCCCCGCTTTTTATGACCTGCCTGTTTCGATTCCTCCAGAAGGCCAGAGGGAATGAAGCCCCGCGGTGTGCTAGAGATATGTCACCTCCATGGTTGTCAGTTGTAATAACAACTACCCGGACCGGGGTCAGAGGTCGGGGGCACATAGTGGTGATCTTCACTTCCTGTTTACGGATGGACCTAGCTGACCCCGCTGCTTCTGTCCTCCTGATTTTTTAAAGATACCAAATACATTTGCTGAATGAATAAATTAGGGAATGTATAAAAAAGGTGCAGATGGGTGCAGATGTGCAGGGGATGAATTGTAAGGCTTTTTTTTACATTGAATTGCAAATTAGTCACAGGTTTTTGCAACTTTGTAAATCTGGCTATGGGTAAAAAGATGCCCGCACACAGCTGTTTAATAACATCTGTGGTTGGAAGTCACTCAAATGTCCATTTTGGTCTGTGAGTCCTAAATAAAAATGGCAGATATAGAATAGAATATGCGGGACTGTAACTCTTTCTCTAATTCAAAATAAGAGTAATACAGGAAGAAATGAAAAGCAAGCCCAGTCCTCGTACCAGTATAAACCAGTCCGGCTCCTGCATTTCATTGCATGGCCTGAAAAAGGTTTGGGACATGGACCACTCTTGTTGTAGCCTCCTTACTTCCCGTGCCCCCCCCCCCCCCGCCCCCCTACCCGTCTTGCTTGCTGTCCCCTTTGCTGCCGTCCCAGCAGCCAGCTTTATTGTGCCGGTACCTGACCAACATTGTGTGCTTGGCCTTTACTAAATGCCTTGGGTTGGCGGTCTCTTCACATTCTCATTCAGCCGGAAAGAGGAGTTAGCGATCGGTTCAAGGGAAATAACACGCACACCATGTTACTGTTTGTGTCTATAGGTTCTGTTTGGTGGAGAGTGTGAGCAATGTGTTCATGTAGGTGTGCGTCACCCTGCTGTTGTTTGTGGCAGTCGCCTCTTATCTCCAGTAGAAGAGGTGATATCACATTTGAGTGTGCTGCCTCATACATACAGCACAGGTACGTACGTGTGTTACATAAAGAGACAAAAGTGACGAACAGGGCGGCGAAGTTAGAGGAATGTATGTGGGGGATGCTGATCTGAGCCTGCTGTATTATTATTCACTTTCCCTTTACTCTGTTTGTCTGTGTGTCTCTCAGGTGATCAGGAAGGGTTGGCTGACCATCAACAACATCAGCATCATGAAGGGAGGAGCCAAGGAGTACTGGTTTGTCCTCACGGCCGAGTCCTTGTCCTGGTATAAAGACGACGAGGTGAGATGCTGTTCACTTCACAGGATTTATGCTGCTTTATTTAGAAAATAAAGGACCCAGCAGAATTACTGTCCAAAAGTAGTCTTATTGTTATTATTTTATTATGTTCTGTTAACATTGGTGCGTTTCCACGTTTGCGTGACCTTGCAATTGCGTGCATTACCGCAAAATAAATCTTAAATAGCCAGTTGAGCAAGCCACGGTTGTGCTTTGGTTGGGGTTGTGTGTAGGAGTTGTCTGCGGGCAGTGCAGTGCCTGGCTGTGGTGTCTGAACTCTCTCTGCGGTATGTTACACATTTGTCTTATCGGACATAATCACATCAGGCTGAAACCCCTTCGTGGCTTGACAAGGTCGATGTGTTAAACTGGTATCCAGAGTGTAGTCGGCATCTGTCAGGTTGGTCTCAAATTTAGGCTGAAGTCTGTTTGTGGCCTTCAGGAGTTTGTGGAATATCCAAACTGATCGGACAATCATCCAGTTACTTTAAATAGATAAATGGTCGTATTGGAATGTGAAGAAGCCCCCTGGACTGTATTTTTATGTGCTACACTGGAACATTACGATTTATTGTGACTGCTCCGCACAACCCGAGACTTCACTCCGTGTGACTGAATCATTTTAACAACTTTTATTTCACTCACTTTTATTATATTTTCCAACAATTTACTAAACCAGGGCTATAATTCCAGCTGGATGTCTTTACTCTCCAACGTGCTTCCACCAGACACTTTCTTTTCCACTTTCTGCTCCAAGCTGATTTGACCCCGACTGCTTACTGGGGCAACTGGTCAAAGCGGTATCCCATGATGCCTTGCAGAAACTATTAGGAGCTAACCACAATCCCACTGTCTCCAGGCCTTCGCCACAGCCGTTGACATAACGATGCATGTGTGTGTGTACTCGCGCGCGTGTGTGTGTGTGTGTGGAGAATGAAGAAGGCCTTTTGCAAAGAGTCGGGACCCCCCAGCATGTCAAACACCAAAGCTGGCACACACATGTGCATACCAGAGCCCCCTGCCCTGCCCTGTTCCCAATTACACACACACACACACACACCTACACCCCTACACCCCTACACACCTACACACACACGCACACACAAGCTGCTTTGAATAACCTTCATTTCAAAGAAGGGGCACAGCGTAGGGGAGGGGCTGGGTTGTCGGGGCGGAGGGAGGAGGAGGCAGGAGGGTCTCTTGTTAGCTGGTTAGCAGCAGGCGTAACAAGTACCATGTGAAGGGGGGAGAAGTGGGGAGGGGGAGGTAGGGATGCAAGCACAGAGCGCAGGGTGGAGGAGAAAAGGTTTTGGTGGAAGTATTTTGTATCCTAATATTGCTGATTTAGAATCGCTCCCTCATTCATCCTCAAAAGTTTATCCCCAAAACGAGAGGAAACATTTCTTCACCCTCCCGTCATCGGCCTCTTCATCCTCTTCTTCATCCCACTCTTTCCTTGTCACCTTCTCCCTTTCTCCTGTCGCCACCCTCCTTCTTTCCCCTCGCTTCTTGTGCTGTATATTTATTTGAACGCGAAGCTGCGAGGGTGGGGCGAGACACAAAACCAACACATGCTGCTGGTGTTAGAGCTCAGCGCGGAGGCTTAAGGGCCCTGTAAGTTATTTAAATAATTAAAAAAGAAACTTTCCATTTAGTTTTCAATCCAAGTTCAACATGTTTAAATAGTCCACACACACACACACACACACACACACACACACACACACACACACACACACACACACACACACGAATACACACTAAGTTAGAGTACGCATGAGGGCTTGTACTCACATGTGCACCTGGATGGAGACTTTGCCAAAATACACATAGTTAAAAAGAGAAAAGAGACATATGTGCATCTTTTCCTGCAGTTTTTGCATTTACACACAGACACGTTCATTTCTTTACACCAACTCGCAAAACAGCACAGCGCCGTTTTATTGACTGCCTCTCGTCATGGGGAAAACCCTTGCCTCAGCCTGGTAAAGTACACACACACACACACACACACACACACACACACACACACGCACACACACGCACACACATACACACCACCCCCAGACACTAATAATAACTTTCAACCCAAATGAGTGGTGCCAGGATGTTTTGGTTAGTGTGTGTGTGTGTGTGTGTGTGTGTGTGTGTGTGCGTGCGTGCCTGGAAACCTTCTGGTCTGTATTACCACAGGACAGGCCAATTCTTTGAATCAGGCTACTCTGGAGCTTCCCAAAGCAGAGAGCGAGTGAGGTCGAAGAGAAAACACAAATGTGCATAAAAGAAGAATCCACACAACTGGGATTTTATAAACTGCACATGTGATATTCATTTATTTTTAGCACCAAATCCATATATTTACATGTGGACATTTTATTTGTTGCACACAGACGGGCAGATGACTTTCCTGTCCTTTTAGCGGCTGTATTATGTGTGCCCCTTTGGCTATTTGCGTGTGTGTGTGTGTGCCCGGGTTTCCCTGCTCCCGCTGTAGAGCTGCCAGAAAGCCAGACTTGCCTGGTGATCCCAGCTGTAAACATCCTGGGGGGGAACCGGCCGACCTGCTGCTTTCAACGCACACTCCCCAGAAACCCGACTGCCACACGGCGTGTGTTTTTTTTACCCTCTGTGTGTGTGTGTGTGTGTGTGGTTGCGCTAAAATGCGCTTGTGTGCATGCTCCCGGGGGTTGTGACATTGGGGCAGGGCTCTAAATGGAAACAGGTTGGTTTGCGGTTTTCATCGCTTCGCGATGGGACGCCGCGCGAATGCCGCTGCACTCCACTTTGCTTTGTGTCCCAGGGAGGTAGACGGAGTGGAGAACGCTTCATCAAAGACAGGCGGCCTGCAAGACAAACTGCGGCCCCGGTGAAGTGAATAGAACAACAAAACATAATGGAAAGCAAGGCGGGGGGGGGGGGTCCAGCTCAACTTGTAAGGTTATACTTGACGTCACTTACAAACACTGAAGCCGCAAACTTTTTCTTAGCTTTTTTTGTGGGGGGGGGGAGCTATACAAAGACTAGAATGGTGAGGAGACAATGACAGGGAGGCTTCTGATGTGGTCATTTGAGGTGAGGTTGGTGCAGTGAAAGTAGAGGCGTAATTGTATATATTTTGTTCAAGATGTCATGTGTGATGCTGTGTTCTTTTAGTCATTTCGGGTACGTGTTCAGTTCTCAGTTAGGTACAGTAATTCTTTCGGTTTTGTAGACAAATAAACAACCTTGTGTTAATATCATGCAATTGTCACTTATAGATTTATGGGTATTATTATGTAGGTTTATACGGAATTTCTTTGGATCTGCATTTCTGTGACTTTGTAACTTTTGTGGCGAAAAGACAAATAGAAACAATGTCAAATTGGTATCAAAACATCTTTATTTCATCTATTTCAAACAGTTTTACAATTCATCAGATCTTAATCTCAGCGATTAATCAGATAATACAACATTATGTAGACTGTAAATACATCACAATAAACTGTGGCCTCAGTTCTCGGTAAACAGATTTAAAAATAATTCGGGACATGTGTATCTGTCACCCGTATGGGAGGGCCAAGCCTTTGTGGTGTAGCCTTCGGGTGCTTTATTTAGGCCTTTCCCTGTCCAGTTGTGCGAGGGGTGGTGCCGCCTGTCCCCACAGCGTAAATGCTCTGGAGCCTGCGGCGGATGCCCCCTGGAGCGCCCTCGCTGTCTTTCTTACACCTCTTTCGGACACTGCGAGTTGTCCCGTGCTTCCCCGGCCAGCCTAACCAATGTGCAGACTACTGTACAACCACTACTTCCTGAACAGGTAGTCTGAACACTGGGCAGGCGGGCTGGGCGACTAAAGGATGCTGTGGAGAAGGTTTTCCTCGTGCACGCGCAGATCAGCTCCCACATTCAGTATGAAGATGCCAGAACACACACACACACACACACACACACACACACACACACACACACACACTGAGCTATACTCACTGCGATTCGAGTATCTGACTTTTGAGTCCAGATTCTTCTGCTCTCATAGTCTGAGGGCTACAAAGTGCTGATCAGGCCGATTGTGCGGGTTGGAGGAGAAATAGCATATGGGAGATGGATGAAGAGGCCGGCAGGGAGGTGGAGGAAGGGGAGGTGGAGGAGTGAGAGAGGTTAAACAGAGGTGATAGCAGCTGATTGACGGATCCTATAAGATTCCCTCCTTTTTTCTCCCGCTGTGAAAAGCAGAATTCCAGATGGAGCTCTGATGCGGAAGAGTGATGAATCCATTGAACTGATTTCATCTCATCGTTCAGTGAATTATCTGGATTTTGGGATATAGTTGCCCAAATCACCCCGAGAAATTATTTGTTGCTCAAAAACTCAAAAGAAAGTGCAAAAGAAATACGAGCTCTTGGGAAAGTCCTTTGCAGGCCTGTTTCCTGAAAATGGATTAATGCTGACGACAAACAGAGATTGAGAAAGAACAGCACAAATGCGTTACCACAAACACACACACACAGGGGTCATACCCCATTTGTGCAACCTAAACTTGGCTGACCCTCGGGCCAAGACTAAATAAAATCCTTTTTTTTTTCACAATGTTTACAGTTTAAAAAACTGTTGGGATGAAGTTGGCAGTAAAAGAAAGAGACTCTCCAAGTGCTCTCAACCTGTCATGGTTAGAAACTTAGCAGTGAATAGTTGTGGTCAGCTGAGATCATACTAAAATCCCACCCAACACCTCCCCCTAGAACACCGGGATACTTAACCTTTTGTCTGCTCTACTCGTGCCAAACGGAAAGAAAATGTCTCCTTTCGGAGGTGATACCTGCGACTCGACCGTCTCCTCTTTTTTTTCCCCCGACACGTCTCGCTGTCTTTCTCCTCTTCTCGGATGACGTTAGTTTTGCCTCGTTCTCGACTGGGTAGCCCCCCAATTCATCGCCCAACATCCTTTTCATTCAAGACCGCCGCACCGCTGAGATCGAGATGCGGCCGATGTCGTGCGAATTTGCGAATTCGCAGTCGCTCGGATTTGT